TCCCCAGTTTCCCCAGCTTGTCATCTGAGTAGAAGGCAAAGCTAGACCAAAAACCTGCCCAGACGAACTTTGTGATCTAGGTGGTCCAAATAAAATTGCATTTAGGATTTTTTGTTGCTAGCAGGTCGTGGATTGCCAGAATTGAAGTTTGAAGACCTAATGAGGCATAAAAATCTCCTAAAATCTAAAGAGGAGTTTCCATTTTCTTTTCCATTCCCTTACATACCCCTATATATCCCTACATCACCCCTACACCATGTCCCACGGAGCTTTCGGTTGATGATATAAATCCTGCATGACCCATAATAAGGAATATACCATAATTCCCATAGTTTAGGGCCATTAAGGTAATGCAGGATTTATACCATCCACCGTTTTCAAGCCCACACCAAGCTCGGGAGGCTCGGCCTGCGATCTGTGGTCTGGATGGCAGCATGCAAGTCCTGCAGCACAAGGCCCTGACCTCCCAGCTCTTCTTTTCTGTAGGTTTTTTGACTTATTTGTTAAGTTCCATTATAGTAGAATACTCAAGAAATTGATTTTTAATACTTATCATAGCAGAACCCTAAGGAATTAATTATTCAATAGGCGATTCTTTCTAGGTCTACGAGTACTACCGTTGAGGTGCTCCGCGGTTGGAGCTGGTGGACCAAAGGCCGAGTGTGCCTGAGTTCTGGCCTTCAGTCCAAGTTTACACATCTGCATGGCGTTGCACATTAGTTGGGCAACTGTTTTGATGGACTGATACAAGAGAAGCTTGTAATGAAGTGTCCGCGTGAACTTCCTAGCAGAGAGCAGCTTACAGCTGGCCATGGGCTCCAGTTGGCCTCTCTTCCATTTCAGACAACAAAGCCGTATTAGTGATATCTCAGCCTAAGCCACACGCCCACGGTATGTGTCACTGAACGTTGTGGACTCCGTGTGATGGACACATGCAATCAGATGAACGGTTGCACCAGACTCCTGGCGTGTCACATTCCTATTTACCGCACGGCTGGGCCTAGTGCCCACCATTCATGGGTGGCAAAAAGCACACTGCACCTGTATAGAGCCACATTGGACCGCATGGACCACGGCAAGTCCCAAGCAGCAGCGCAAGCAAGCTGCCGGAACTTGGCAGTTCTAGCAGCTGACGGGGACCTATTGGAACCCCTCGACCTCAGGAGGAAAGGTCCTGGTACTTCCTGTGAAGCTTCCAGCCATTCTATGCCATTCCGCTCTGGACTTTTGTTTCTGCAAGTCCGCCGGAATGAGACGGCCGATGCATCGACAGTGCCTGCGTGGCAATGTCTAGCAGCCCGCTGCCACGCTGTGTACGCCTTAGTTGGGAGCCCTTTCTACATGCCTGCAGCAAGTGCTGCTGTGAGGACCACGAAGCATATCACACAGTAAGTTTCCCCAAATAGCGGGACCCCAACATAGACCCCACTGTACACTGGTCATCAGTATGGGGCCCGAAGAAGTATCCAGGGAGAAACCCCCAGTTGGGGCCATGGTGTCAGCTTCACAGATGGCCTTGGCTTTCCAGGATTAATTCCCTACAGCCGCTTCTCCCTTCCACAGATCCGATCCCTGGATGCCGACAGTTAAACCCTTGATATCCCTAAGTCCCTGGCCCTGAACCTCCATCCGTAGTCTGGACACCCGTGCGCTGGACCGTGCGAGGGTGTGCTCACTAGTCAAGCCATTGGCAGAGCTACAGCCGGACAAAAGCACAAGCTCGGCATTGGCGGGCAGGGGTTCACTCCTCCAGCTTTTTGCGGAGCTACTGCCGGCCGAGAGCAAGAGTTGAAACTGGCCGGCGAAGTTAGGTGGTGTTCCTGTGGCACCAGCAACTCCGACTTCGACTTTTTCAGCACCATTGCTGAATGGTGCGAGACTTGAGCGATGTGTGGTGAGGCTTGCCTCGTGCACGCCCTGTCCCTTTTGCGTCCCATGTTACGGCCATCAGGGACGGCTCCAGTGTTGACACCAAGGCATGATATGAAGCTGCTTTCTCACTAGAGAAGGGTATAGGAGGAAGAGGCTCGCGCCAGTTCAGCACCGTTTTGGCTGCGGCTGTAAGTGCAAAGGTCGAGAGGGCCTAAGCCTCGCCTCAGCACATCACAGTTCCCTCTCAGCCGTTCACATGTTGGCTTATTTGTTGTTTTGCAGTTAATCTGGCGAGGCGACCAAGCGTCTCTGGCAGTCACTGTCTGCAACGCACCTGCGCGTGGAGGGGCGGCTTGGGTGGGTTGAAGCTGTTGAGGCTCCTGAGGTGAAGCCAGCAGACCAGCAGCTCCTGACCCTGTGGCCCGAGTTCTCCTTTCCTCGACCACCCTTATAGATCCCTTATAGTAGCCTTCATATGAACCCTTTAGAGGGAACCCTACTCCGAGTATCTCAGTCGCGAGTCTAGTGGCAGCCCTTCTCCTGCTCCATATGCAGTCTGGCCCTCGAGCCATTATCCTTGACGGTGTCCTTACTTGGGAGGCTTTGCTTGGAAGGCCTGGAGAAGCCTGAGCCCTGCCACCTCAACCTGTGCCACCTCTGCGTGTCGTCCCAGTCAGGATTGCTAAGATGCATGTTTCCACCTTGAAGCTTTGAGGATTTCCAGGGCGATGTTGCGAAGCGATTCCGGGAGATCATTGGAGTTCCCCAAGCTGCACGGCATTGTGTGCGTGGCGAAGCTCTGCCTCTCGGAGTCCTTCGCCTCGCATTTCGCATCCTTGTGATGTGCTAGCTGGCTTCTTGAAGTTGAGCCTGTCAAGTAACAGAGAGACGTGTTTGGAGGCCTTGCAAGCAAGAATTAGGCACGGCCTTCTTGGCTGGGCAAGCCTGGAAGTGTTTGACATAGGATCGGAGCATCCAAGAGCGTCTGAACGCTTGAATAGCAGCATACCTAGGGCTGGTGTTGCACTCTCTCATCAACTCATTTGCATGTTCCACTGCCGCAGGACAAGATGCCGTTTGTGCGTATAGGCCCTCTACAATCAGGCAGGACATGAGGTTGAAAAGTAAGGCCGTCTTACGCTTGCCATCCTGCTCAACAGCAGGAGCCCCGGACAGGACCAGGCTGACAGACCTGCGAGCTCCCAATGACTCCAATGACCCCCAAGATGGAAAATGAGATGGAAACTGTGATTATGAAGAGGTTACCTTCGACTTATAGGCCTGAGGCAGAAGGTGCTCGCGTGGCAGCTCAGCACCCATGCGCTTGTTGCAGCCAACGTGAGTTCATGCACACATGCCGTGGGACCACGGTGGCTGCTCCCTTTGGCCTGTGGCGTACGGTCGACGCCCCAGTGTGCGCTTCCGCAAGGCGGACCTTCCATGTGAAGGGGAGCGCGCGCTGGCACTTCCATAGCCCAGCAGGGCCACTGCCCAAAGCAGTCAGGTACTGTAGTTAGGGTAGTAATTAGGACCATCCAGGGCCCATGTGCAACGTACACTTGCAGGCAGCTCCTGTGAGATACAGTTCTGCTAGAGCCCCAAGGGCCTGGCTCTTTGACCAGGAGCTGTCAAGTGCAATGCCTACGAAGAATCTTCAAGGCTTTCTCCAGAACCGGAGTTTGCAAGTTGGAGATTCCCCCAAAGCTTCGGCACAGGTCTTCCCTCGCCGTGGCAGATGTTTCATTTTTAGCCGCCCTCAGCGTATGACAGGAACAGCGAGAGCATTTGTTTCTGCGAGAATTGGGGAGCTATGGCTGAGATTGGTTATCGTGTTCTCTACTCCGTCAGCCAATATTGCTTCATAGCCTCTGGTCGCTCTGCAGCTCGACATGGGAGATAGAGAATCCTTTACAGCCTCTTGATGTCCCATGCGTTTCGTCTGTGTCTTAGCATCCTGCAAGTCACCCATCACCGCAGCCTCCACAATCTCCACGTTCAGATCTCCAGAGTTTCTATCCACGCGCCGTGCGTTGAGCACCTCCCTGCCATGTAGCGGTCTCTGAAACTGGCCTACACCTGGCTTTGAGGAGTCAAGCGTTTGGAGCGAAAGCAGGAAGCTGTGTCAGTGTCAAGCTCTGTCCAAGACCCTCGGGTTGCATATACATGGCATTAAGATGTTGCGGGGTTGGTGGTTCTGAGGGGAGGGGGACCACTCTGTCTGGTACAGCTTGATGTCATTCATGTCTTGGCTTTGATCTGTGGATTTTCTGACCAACAGCTGGTTCGGAGTCCCAGAGCCAGCCTCAAAAAACTAGACTCCTAGCCATCGGCAAGGGCCACCACCCAGCATGGCATTATTTTGATTGAAGCAGTGAAGCTGCTTCCAGACGCCTCGTATCCAACTGCCTCCTTGCTCAGCTTGTGTTGCCAGCTTGGGGCCGCCAGGTGTTAGTAGCTTGGGTGTTCTTTTCCAGGGCTTTTCCTCTTCCTCAAGTGTAGAGGCCTCTAGCCAACTCTGGCAGCTCCGACTTGGGCGCATTTTTCCATTCAACCTTCTGCCGTGACACGGTCGGTGTGAAAACACCAAACTCGTGCATCCCGCAAGACATCCCGTTGATTGAAGGCCCCCCGTATTGAATCGCATAGCCGCACACGCAGATGTAGACGCATCCCCTTAGCGCATCTTCACACCCGGATGTCCCACAACGAGACTGCTAACTACGTAGTAAAAGGCACCCCTGTTTGCTTAGCCCATCAGGTGCTTCGTTGTCAGAGGCCACGAGACTGGGGCTTAGGATGCCATGTAAAGCAAACAGGCAAAGCTAGCATGCTCGACTGTGCACTTTTTGCGGCTTCTCCCGGAGCCTGGGGAAGGTTTCTGTGAGATGCACTGAAAAATCACAGCCTTTTTGTGTGCGCCCCGGAGGGCCCAAGTGGTGCGTGGCTGGTTCACGTCCCCAAAACTGTCTGTTGCTACCACCACACACTGGGTCAGCACTGACACTGACAGGGCTGCTGCGATGCGTTTGGGGTGATAACCCACCAGTCTCAGTCAGCCGCAGTGGGACAGCCAGTGCCGTTTTAAGCGCAGTTGAGCTCTGCGGTCTCTGGAAGTCCCAGGGTTCGGATCAGCAGCTTTCAAATTCTTCCACGCTTGAGCCAAGCCTCAGATGTTCCCAGTATGCCCCTCGCTTCATGGCCCATTGCCTCCCACAGCCTGCATTCATTCCAAGCAAAATATGCAGGGAGAGCTCGGGCTTAATAGATGCCTTCTGCTCTACACAAGTCATGCTGTTAGAAGTGTTTTGCTGCAGATGCAGACCTTGCTTCAGGGTGCTGGCTTGGACGTGGCTACTCCTGCAACCGCGTGCGGAAAGCGCTTCCGAGGGTGCGCCACCAACGTCATATGATCTGCAGCTGTCACAGGCAGTTTCACAGGATGCTCCGATATTTGTGGGCCAGGCCAAATGTTGGGACCATGTCCCTTCATCGAATGCCAAGATTGCCATGACACCGCCATGTGCTGCCTGACTCAATGGCACAGTCCTTCAAGCAGGCAAAATCAGGAAGGACATTTTGCCAGCGCAAAGGCACCGTTGCAAGTGATACTCACCTCTTGATTCAGGAGCTGCAGTCTAATTCCAGAAGCTTCTCCGCGGGTTCGGTGGTTGCGCCTTTCTGCCTGTCAAGTGCTCGAGAACAGGATATTCGCACAACCGTTCAAGGCCCACTTGAGGTCTTGACACGCTTCTTCCTGTGAGAACGCGACCAGTTCCAGCCATCTTACTGCAACCGCGAAGAAGGAATCACCTTGCGAATGAATGCTGCGAAATCCGGAACCTGTCACAGCTGAAAGGTTCACCGACAGAGCGACGGAGCATCTGACCACTCGTTGCGTGGACTGAGGAAGCTGCCTGTTTGAAACCTTGAAGACGTCAGAGGTGTGAGTCACTGAGAATGTGAAGTTGCAGGCAGCTCGTTCCGCCCTTCATGCTTCTGTGACATCTGCAACAGCATGCAGGCCGGCTGCCGTAGGAGCATGAGCACGCATCTGAGGGGTGTTCGCCATCGGTCCCGCCAATCAAATTGCACGTAAGGTCTTGGCGCCCCCTTGTAGCTGTTAGAAGGCGGCCAGCTGCAGCACTCTTTGCGGGAGAGAGTGCATTTCCAGAAGTTGCTCCACACTTGGGGAGGACTCTAAGCCTTCACTTGCCTGTGGGTGGGAAGTCTGCACCAATCACGCCCAGCAACAGCTGCTTGAAGTTTTACTGTTGTAAATGCGGTGTAGAGGCACCACTGGTAGCCATGCCGCTTGGGCCTGGCTCCAGTAAAGCGAACTGTGCCCGCGAGACAATTAAAGGGGTTAATGTGAATGTGGGCAGAATTCCAAACCTATGAACACCACAGCTCTAAGCAGCTACTTATGGATGCAATTAGACTCGTAAACTCTTAGAACCTAAACCCCACATCCCCAAAGCCGTGAACACTGAAGCACGCGACCCCTTCATTCTTTGGCTAGCAACTGCGAGCTTGAAGGGTGACAAGTTGCAGCATCTGCACCCTTTTTGTCCGGCACCAGCAAAGTGTACACATGAGGAGCCTAACCAGAACCCTGCCGAGATGCCACTGGCTCCTCCCGCCGCCGGTAGTGATGCTGCTGCCCCTCCTCCTCCCCCTGCAGCTGCTGCTGCTGCTGCTGCTGCTGCTGCGGCGAAACCGTGCAGACAGACTGCTGCCTGTTGAGCTCCGCCCCATGAAGTCGCTCAAAGCACACATGCACACACGCGCAACGCCACTTCCTTGACTACCCTGCCCTCCTGTAGCTGTGAGAAGGCGCCCAGCTGCAGTCTTCTTCGCGCAAGAGAGCTGCAATTCCAGAATTTTCTCCGCGGGTTTGCTGCTGCACCCTTCTGCCTGTCAAGTGCTTGAGAACAGGATACACACAACCCTTCAAAGCCCACTTGAGGTCTTGACGCGCTTCTTCCTGTGAGAACGCGACGGGCTGCAGCCCTCTTGAACCTGTGACAGGCACAAGGTTAACCGATAGAGCCACGCAGCATCTGACCACTCGTTGCGTGGGCTGCGGTTGCTGCCGGTTGGAAACCTTGAAGACGTCAGAGGAGTGCGTCACTGAACATCTGAAGTTGTGACATTTGCAACACCATGTAGGCCGGCTGCTGCCTGCTATGCTCCACCACGTGAAATCGCTCAGGCAATCACAACAACGTATGCGCACACCTGCACCAGAGGCACGTTGCTTCTTTCCGCCCGTGGTGGGCATCAATAGCGGGATCCAGCAAGCTGTGCCTGCGGGGTGTAGTCCATCGGTCCCGCCGATTACGGGTGCACCTGAAGTCTTGGTGCCACTTGCTCAACCACCCTGCCCTCCTGTAATTGTGAGAAGGCGCCCAGCTGCAGTCTTCTTCGCGCAAGAGAGCTGCAATTCCAGAATTTTGCCTGCGGGTTTGCTGCGGCGAGCTTCTGCCTGTCAAGTGCTTGAGAACAGGATACACACAACCGTTCAAAGCCCACTTGAGGTCTTGACGCGCTTCTTCCTGTGAGAAGGCGACGGGCTGCAGCCCTCTTCCGGCGAGCGCAAAGAAGGAAGCACCTTGCGAATGCGGCGAAATCCCGAACTCCTTGACAGGCACAAGGTTCACCGATAGAGCCACGCAGCATCTGACCACTCATTGCGTGCACTGAGGACGCTGCCTGCTTGAAACCTTGAAGACGTCAGAGGAGTGCGTCACTGAACATCTGAAGTTGTGACATTTGCAACACCATGTAGGCCGGCTGCTGCCTGCTATGCTCCACCACCTGAAATCGCTCAGGCAATCACAACAACATATGTGCACACCTGCACCAGAGGCACGTTGCTTCTTTCCGCCCGTGGTGTGCATCAATAGCGGGATCCAGCAAGCTGTGCCTGCGGGGTGTAGTCCATCGGTCCCGCCGATTACGGGTGCACCTGAAGTCTTGGCGCCACTTCCTCAACCACCCTGCCCTCCTGTAGCTGTAACAAGGCGCTGAGCTGCAGTCTTCTGCCAGAATTTTCTCCGCGGGTTTGCTGCTGCGCCCTTGTACCTGTCAAGTGCTGAACACGATACACACAACCGTTCAAAGCCCACTTGAGGGCTTGACGCGCTTCTTCCTGTGAGAACGCGACGGGCTGCAGCCCTCTTGCGGCGAGCGCGAAGAAGCAATCACGTTGCGAATGCGGCGAAATCCCGAACCCGTGACAGGCACAAGGTTCACCGATAGAGCCACACAGCATCTGACCACTCATTGCGTGCACTGAGGACGCTGCCTTTTTGAAACCTTGAAGACGTCAGAGGAGTGCATCACTGAACATATGAAGTTGTGACATCTGCAACACCATGTAGAACGGCTGCTGCCTGCTATGCTCCACCGCGTGAAAGCGCTAAGGCAATCACAAACACGCGCACTTGCACCAGAGGCACTTTGCTTCTTAGGCCGCCCGTGCTGTGCATCAATAGGAGCATCTAGCAAGCTGAGATTGAGGGGTCTTGCCCTCTTGTAGCCGTGGGAAGGCGCCCTTCTGCCTATCAAGTGCCTGAGAGCAAGCTCCTCGTCCAGCCGTTCTGCCTACCCGCAGAGTGCACATACATGCGTGCAGCCCGAAGGAGTTTGGTTTGGACCGAGCCCAAGCACGCTCCAGCTCCTTGGCTTCCTCACTGAAGATCTGGCTTGATCCGACTGTCAGGTAGCTTCAGGTCAGGACACCCCCCTGGCGTAGGTTGAAGTCAGGGTGAGAGGTTCAATCTCCTAACTGCCCCTTTGCAGGGCTCCTTACTGGTTGCCGGACTTTTGCCACTGTGCATCCCAGATCCTGCAGCCGTTCTGCAGGGGTTCAGATCCAAAACCCTTTCTTCTCATTCCCAGGAGCCTTCTGCAGAGTCCTAACGCTTTGCCTTAGTATGGGAGATCCCTTAATTCGGGTTGGCTTGAGGCTTGCGTGGCGCAGGGCCTTTAGAGAGACGCAAACTCCGGGGGATGCTGGGCTCATGACACCGTGCGATCAACTGGCTCTTAGTAGGGAAATCTATCACATAGGGATTACAAAGGTCGTATGTTCCCTTATTTCCTGCTAAGAACATCCAAGAACCAGCACGTAAGGCGAGAAGACCTTTGAGCCCTGAGCACAGACTACTTGTAAGATCGGAGATCTTGTCTCTTCCGTCGCACTTTGATAAAGCCGGAAACTCGGCTAATAGAGGATTCTCGACCATTTGAAGGTTGCAGGCTGTTGAGGGCAAGATTCGTCCCTGAGTCATGTTCTTCGATTCAAGTAATCAGCAAGTAGTCAGTTACCCCCGTGTGCGCCTGGGCTGGCGCCCAGAGCTGCGCCCCCAAAAGCATTTCGAAGGCTTCTGTGTTGTCTTCCTCGCTGTCCCATGCAAGTCTTCGTATCCTCAGCAGTTCTCTGTCGCTGGCTTTTTGGACCCCGGAACTTTTAATCTGAGGCGTTCTACAGACCGTGCATTTGAAGCTGTGAGGACTCCAAGACCGCTGAAGATTTCGAATCTTTCTTAGCTGATGCATCGTGATGCCGCTTGAGCCTTACCGTATCCTATGGCGGCAGTGCCGGTACCAGCATCAAACATCGTCAGCCCGAAGCTTTTTGCCAGTTCCTACCCTGATGTCGACCCGGAGTCTGGAAGAGACCATGCTAGCCTGGAATGAGGAGGCGCGCTGAATTATACTTTTGACCTTCTCACCTGGTGGAACACCCGGGATGCTACAGCTACGTCCCCCCAAGTGGAAACTTGCCTTCCGCAGACTTCTTACACCCCAGCGCAGCAGCCTGAGCGGCCGCAGCGGCCTGAGTAGTAGGCCCAGCTGCCCAAGTTTGCCCGGACACGGGCACTGCGCCCTAGGTCGAGACATGCACGAGGCTGACTCGCTGACTCTGAAAACTTCTGCAGCCTGACAGGGGCGAGTCCGCCTACGTGCAGTCTCAGACTGCATGCACTTGGATGCTGCGCGTGAGCTGTGAAACTCCAGCAAGAGTAGGGTGCCTTACGGACGTCTCCTATATGCTTCACGAAGCATAAATGCGACAGAGCGGAGAAACAGCCAGCAGTGCCGCACAGGGCTGAGCAGGGAACATGCATTCAAGATGTTCCTTGTTCCGCAAGATGCAGCACACTGCCCCTTGGTCGAAACCTACAGTCCCTCAACTCTACTGTAAATGTGTGGTAATATGCCTATTTGAGCTAGTGTACTGCTGCGCTTTGGTTATGCTTGTTAGAGTACGCGAGGTGCTGTGAGCGCAGACCAACATGCGAGGACACATCTGGAGTGATAGACATGATTCCATGTTCAATGAATTCCACGTTCACAAATGCGGATGTTTTCAACCAAGCACTCAGTGTGAACATTTACAGATGATGTGAGGGCCTCGCTCTGTGCCGGCCATGTGTGTCTGTCTATCTATCTGAATTTATCTATTTGTTTGGTTGTCTTGGACTTGTTGCAGCTTTCTTTTTCAATCCTTGAAATCTTTTGGCACGAAGATTAGCCCTGCAGTGGCCGAAGATGCAAAATTCCAACAACATCCTGCTGCCACTAGTGCTACTGCTACATCTATCCCAGCACTTGCAAAGATGCCAATGCTGCCATTATCATCCTCATTCTGCTATGGCTACTCAGATAATCACAGCTCTTGGTCTGACTAGATGATGCTATTATGTCGCTGTATTCCCTTACACTGGTACCGTTGAAGACACCCAACCTTCGGACGCCAAGCCGGGTTCAAGTCTTGCCGGCAGTCGATAGAAGCTGCTTGTCTCTTGGGCCTCTGCTGTCCTGGCACGCTTATTCCCCAAACCCTAAACCCTAAACCCTACACCCCTGAACCCTAAAAGGAGCACCAAATCACCGATTCCTTGAGCCACATCTGGAGCTGCAAGCCCTTCAACCCTGTTGATGGCAACAAGATTGCTGACCATGATGTTAGACGAAAACCAAATCCAACATTACATAGTATTGACGCATCTTTGCCGCAACCGCACGCAATGGCCTTTTCAGGCCTATAGCCCAAAGCACGTTTCAAGACACGATCTTGATGTTGCGTGAATCGTTCCTATTCCAGAGAGTTTCATTGCCCTGTAACGGGGCCTTGAATCATCTTACAATGCCTTTCTAGACTTTGGGTGGTCTATGGATAAATGGTAGTAGGCTCGGTGAGTTGCTGCAGTAATTACAAAGTTACGGTGCCATGGGCGTCAGCCAGAGTGCCTGCAGGGCCTCCTGTTGCCAGGAGTTTGCCTCTTGGGGGTTCAGAAAGTTTAAAATGTGGACATTGAAACACCCCACACCCCGGTAATATATAGATAGTTGTCAAAAATGGCCCCTATTTGGTCCCGATTATAATACGATACTACTATTATCTAGGGTACCCAGAAAAGGACCTTAATTTTGACAACCACCCATATATCTTAAAACCCACCAGAACGAACCACAAGAGCTCTACTAGATTTTGCTTTGGGTCGGGTTACTTCGTGCCCGGAAAGTTTCAGATCCAGGTATTGATTTCTGTTGGGGTCTCGATGGACTTGCTTTTGATACAAGGTTCTGATTATTCAACAGGTTTTTCTTTACTTTTGAGTTTGTTTAGTATGGATTCCGGGCATTTACCAGTTTACATGAGACTCACTGCTTGGCGCATTGCCAACCAATAGATGTCGTAGGGCTTCAAGCCATTGGTACCGGGTTGGGAAGGTGCTTGGCTTTGATGCTTGAGCAGTGGATGTCTTTTTTCGACCCCGCTTCGTTTGTTTTTCTGCTTCCCGGCTCTGTTGCTGCTCTGTCTTTTGGTTCGGTCTTGGGTTTTCGTCTTCTTTGCTTCTTGCCTTGCCGTTCATATCTCGGCTTTTCGCCTGTGCTGTATGACTTCTTGCTCTATTTGTGTTGTTCTGTGTTTTTCTGCTTTTCGGTTGCTCTGCGTTCTGGCGGTCTCATTTTATGCACTGTTTCACTTTTCTTGGTGTTTCACCTTCGCATCTCGCTTAATCATTAATCCTTTTGCGCCGTTGTGGCAATTTTATTTGTTTTTGCCTGTGGGCTCGGTGCTTTTCTCTACAGCTTTCCTGTCCTATTGAGATTTTCTGTCTGCTTCTTAGTAGGGAATGGGAGAATGGGATATGGGGACTATTATTGGGGATTGAATAGGGGCTACTATACGGATCATACGGATCCATTCCCCCATTCACTACTAAGCACCAAAGAGTTTTACACGCTGGTTTCCGGATGTGAAGGTTGCTCCGGCTCTTCTTCGGCTCTCCCCGAAGTTATTGCAAGGTTTAGGGTTTAGGGTTTTGGGTTTAGGAAACATTGGTTCAACAAAACAAAACCAATGCTCCGTTTGACGTAGACAGAGTCAGGAGAAGAAGTGCCGCAAAAAGCCAACCAAGTTTCGAACCCCAAACCCCAGAACCGTAAAATCTCAATGCCCTGAACCGCAAGCCCTCTGCATACCAAAACCCAGAGAGCCCAATACCCCTTAATTAAGGAATATAGCTTAAATTATAAGGGGGCGCATAATATGATTTGAGCTATATTCCTTAATTAAGGGGTATTGGGCTCTCTGGGAACCCGAAACCCAATGCCCATGACGTGATAACACCTGTAATCAAGCCCTGAACCTTCATCAGGAGGCCAAGCACGCGCAGCAGGAGGATAGAGGCGCGGGCTGAGATATCTCGAGTTTGGGGTACAATGTGGTGGCGTGGATATTCGGGGGTTCCGTGGCTTCAGTACACCCCAAGCCTTAAATGCGACTTTGCAGTCAAAAGGCGGTTTGGGGCGCAGTTTTGTAGGTGCGGCGTCGAACAAACCCAAAATATACCCTAAACCCTAACCCTGGTATACCTATTCTCGATTGCGGACGGAGCCTGTGCGAGTGCACGTTGTTGTATTCGAGGGAGGCTCCAGAGCCTCCGTATGCGAGGGCATAGCAGCCCGAAACTCGAACCCTAAACGGGAGCCTTAAACCCTGATCCCTAATCCCTGGACCGACTTGCAGTGGCTGTTCACTTGTTTCATGGCAGAAAGCTTCTTGGGCTCAGGGGACATACTTGAACCGCAAGGAACCTTCATTTTTCAGGGTCCTGCTTCTGATTTCCTTATGCAGGTCCTCACATTCAAAGGTTTAGGGGTCGGGGGTTTGGCTTTTGGCTGGGGGCCCCAGGTGCACAGCATAGGCCTACACGGCGGGATAAGGCTCGGGGGTTTAGGTGATTTCGGGGCTTTGTGGTGTGGGGGTTTAGGGGTTTATAGTCAGGTAGTAGGACGCTTCTGACTTTCAGGCCTCAAGCAAGCACCCGAGACATGCATGATTAAGGTCTACGGTTCTGGGTTTAGGGTTGTTTAAAGGGCCCATATCATACTAATTTTGGAGTAAACCCGCATGACAAGAATGTATTGCTTTTCTTGCCACGTTCGAGGTTCTCATACAATGCATCCCCATGTAATCCACAGAAACATCGCCCATGCTCTTGAATACCTGGGAGGTAATGAGGTCTCGTTCCCGGCACGGCATTTTGCGGCGGACCCTGGGGGACTGGAAGAGGCGGCGCAGGTGCAAAGCCACAGCATGCAGAGTTGTACTCCAGCAATCTACATAGTAGCACCCGAAAACCTAAACCCCAAACCCGAAACCCCAAAGCACAACCTTTGCAGCTGATTGCACTACTCCGCACCCATTTTCCGTTAATGGGTCCTTGGTTATATCTTGTTCAAGTTTCGGAATGTCCGGGGTAGATTCGGCTCTTGAGGGCGCGTGGCTTTTGCAAGCACGCAGCTGCGAGGGATTGTCGGGTGGGGGGGGTTTCGATCTGGTGGTTCTGGGTTCTTTTAAGGAGTGTAGTTTAAGTTACCAAAATGAGGAAACCGTAGTACTTACCGTAGATCCTGATGATGGTAACTTAACTTGTATTTCTTAACAAGAACCCAGGGTTGTAGTGCTTGAGACGGTGCTCTAGGTTGTTTTCTCTTGGGGTTGAGAGCCGTGGGCTCTTGGGGTGGAGAGGTGCATGGGGCATGTAGGGTTTGAGGTTAAGGGTCAAGAACCGACCTTCAAGATAAGTTTAGGTTTCAGGGTTCAGGGCAAAACGAAGAACAGGGGCGCACCGCTTGAAGGCTTGCAGTCCCGTACCGATAAGGTCCCAAGCATCTTCCGAGGGCCCCAACCCGAAAGACGCTTGGCCCGAAACCCACGCATCCTAGGTGGTTTCCTACACCACATAACCTCGAAAGCCTGCAGAACACAACCGTGAAATCTCAAGCCCGTGGAACCCTCATAGAAAGCCGTTTACGGTCCGATCCAATGGAAGCACCCCGAGAGAGCCCCAACAGAGCCCCCGCCCGAACAAGCACCAAGACCGTAAACCCTAAATCCGATTTCGTAAGAACGCTAAACCTTACATCCTAAATAGCAAACCTTAAATCCCAAAGCCTAAAAACCCCAGCCCCTCGTCAATAAGAACGCTTTAGGTGGTCTGGTCCGATATGCCGGAGCAGGGCTTTGAAACCGGTGCCATTTTTAGCAACTCAGAGTCCCTGATGCTGGGCTCTTTTTCAGGGGGAGCCTGTGTTTAGGTAAGTTTAGGTATCATGTGCTTGATAAGGCTTTATTAAAAGGTTCTGTGAGGGTGGAGGGTTGATGAGGAGGGGGGCAGGGGGGCTTTCATGAGCTGAGTGTTCATGATGTTGTATGAGGCTCATTGTTGGGTTGAAAAGGGCTATGCAAGGGGCTCCTTTGAAGGAAGATCGTCTAGATTTTTTGAGTGGGTTTCAGGCGGGCCTGGCTGGATTGTACCGGGGTGTGATACTGTTGAGCTTACGTTAGTTGCCGTTTTCGGGTTGCAGGGTTTTGTACGGACAGTGCAGGTTCATATGGCTTTACTGAGGTGTATGGTTTTTCGCAATTTAAGCTTTGATTTCTCAGGAGCGCCCAGTCTTTTAAAGAGATCTCCGCAGATCTAATATAAACTATGAGCTCCTCGACAAGAAGCCGTGCAAACCTCACGGATAAAGCCCCGGCAGCCCTATTACTTATACGGCCTCCATAGCAATCCCTACGAAGACCTGTAGCAAGCTGATAAATTCATTCATATTCCTCGCAATGCCCTTCAGCAGATCATGCGTGTTCTGTAATCATAGCAATCATGGAACTTTCCACTAAAATCAATACAGCAGTCAAGTAACACGCGTGTAAATCACGATTACGCTCTTGATTTCCTGGTATGTTAGCTTTCACCATAAACCTCGCCGTGTTAGCTTGTAAGGTATGTCCCTGCTAAGCATTGTCTCCTGCTGTGGCATGTATGAAGGTATGTCTGCGTGTCCTCCCTCTGATAGACCGCCCGGTTGAGACTGTCACTGACTCTCGTCTCCTATGCAATGGCCTTTCTCTCCTCCGACCCTAAACCCCAAACCCTCGACCCTAGACCCTACACCCTCTACCTTAGACCCTAAATCCTCTACCCTAAACCCTCGACCCTCTACCTTCCACCCTAAACCTTCTGCAGTTCGAAAAGGAGCCCGTAAAACAAAAAACCCTAAACCTTCTATCTTAAACCCTGAAGACGGAATCCAAAACCCTAAGCCGAGGATGTTGGGAGCTCTCAGCTCCGCCCCTGTGGAGCCGGTGCGCTCCAAGGTCCTGGATCCTGACATGGAGCCTCGGATGCTTTCTTTTAGGGCTTAGGAGTTGGGGTTTTAGGAATTAGGGTTTAGGAGTTAGGGCTTAGGAGTTAGGATTTAGGAGTTAGGATTTAGGAGTTAGGGTTTAGGAGTTAGGGTTTAGGAGTTAGGGTCTAGGGGAGGGAGCTGAGGGTCTTAGGGTCTTAGGGAAGGGAGCCTCGCCTGCCTTTTGTTTAAAGTTCAGGGGGGCTTAGGGTTTTTGGTTTAGGGGAGCCTCGCATGCCTCTTCAGGCTTTGAGGAGCTGGTGGCTTTTTGCGGGCTTCAGGCAGCTGTGTTAGGGTTCTGGGGGTGAAGCTGTACTTCAGTGGTACAACTTATCAAACTGACTTTAGGTTCGGTCTACAGGCCTACAGGAAGAAAAAACAACGTCGCGACAGGGGAGCATATGTTAGCCTATATGATTTCTTTGGCAGCGCCGAACTGAAGAGTGTTGCTGTTCTTCTAAACCCTACACCCTGCACCCTAAACCCTAAAACCCTAAACCCTACACCCAAAACCCTAAACCCTACACCCTGCACCCTAAACCCTAAACCCTACACCCTGCACCCCAAACCCTGCTCCCGCAATCTGGGTCCGATTCCTGGGGCCTTTATCTCGGCGTTCTCGGGCCTTGGAGGTCAGGGCTTGGCGCGGCTCAGGGGCTGAGGGTTCAGGTTTCCGACGCCCGAGTTTTCATAGATCAGGTCCGCAGCAGTGAAGCCCTCAAACCCTACTTGAAGGATCATGGGACTTAGTAAGTGGTTATAAAAAAGGTAACTATACTTATGACGACTTATAACCCCAATTAGGGTACTTCTAACCTTACTTACTAGGTCCCATGATCCTCCGAGTAGCCCTAAACCTTATTGTCCCCAAAAGACACCCAGATAGTTCACCGGGGCGAAAATCATGAATCATGCACCCTTTGCACCCTAAAGTCTACCTAACATCCCAAGTTTCTTCGTCGCATTCCCTAAACCCCCAACCCCAAACCCTAAACCCTACCCAGGAGATGTTGCGTGGCATCTCATTGAGCAGCACGCTGCTTGGCGGGGGGCATCTCTGGCGCTACTCACCGCAGACCTTCACCACAGAGCAGCGTATGGCTTTGTACAAGAAGTCGAAGCCCATGCAGCTTGGCTGGCTTGCATTATGACATGTGAGTACATATATCTGTATACTGTATACACGACTTATATGTATGTATATGTGTATGTATGTGTATATATATATATATGTAGTATATATCATATACAGATGCATATGTGTATGTGCATGCATGCATACATACATCCATGAATGTATACATGCATGTACGTATATATATATATATGTGTGCATATGTGTATACATGCACGTATGCGTTTCGTATATTTGTACATGTGTTTAAGTAAATATGGTTTTGTATGTATGCATGTATGTATGTGTAGACTCTGCACATATGTATATATATATATATACATACATATACGTATGTATTTATATGTTTACATATGTGTAGATGCCTATATGTATATATGTATATACGGATATATGGAAAGAAGTATAGATGTATAGAGGTACAGTACACATGCGTATATGTCTGTGCGTATGTATATGTTTAGAACATGTCCACAGTGTTCCTTTTTCAACCCAATGGGACTTATGGGTCAGCCGAGGCAGCACCTGGACATGTTCATTTCCCATACCTGGTGGACCGCCGGCTGGAGGAAAGCCGTGGCACTCTACTTCCAGAGCACCGCCAGCATCATCTTCGCTGCATGGTTGTTTTGCATCTTTATGTCCTTTGTGCTTTGCATCACCGACGTTCTGCCGTTGCCCTTTGTCTATCAGGCGCATACAGAACCGCTATAACTCATAAGCCTACAAAACCCTCTTCTTCTTCTTCCTCCCACGATCTTCATTCATTCTGCAGACCTTCTTCTTCCCACGATTTTCATTCATTCTGCAGACCCCCTTTTTTCAGGCGAACTTGCTTGGCTTCACTGAGCTCTGCCCCATGGGCTGTTGGATCCTCTGCTCTGGCCTCCTCGGCCCACTGCTGGCCTCCGTTTTCTATATCTACCTCCCTTGCTGCACGTGGCTTTGTCATAGTTGGGTAGCATTTTTCATCTTTATGGGTTGCTTAAACCCAATATGGAATAAGGAACTCTTAATACCATTTCAGCAATGACCTAGGTCGCCGGTGTGTTTTGTGGATGTGGCATGCATACATCAAGCGGACCAAGCCCTCATGCAGCTTGGCTTCGACGGTAGGGCTTTTCATCGGGGCTACACCCGCTTTCCCGTCTCACACTCAACTTAAGTATTCACATATGTCATTTTGGGGTTCCCTTGTTATAACTACAAGACCCTAAACCCTAAACCGTCAAGCTCCGAGGCAGCGTGGCGTCCAGGGCATCGGGGGTTTCTTGGCGGTCACCCGAGAGCTGCGAGTCCTGTGGAGCCCTCCCTACCTGTGCCTCAGCTGCAGAGGGCGGAGAACGGGTTTAGAATCAGATACCCTAAACCCTAAAGCCCGAAACCCGAAACCCCTAGACCGTAAACCCTAAAACGCTAAAGCCTAAACCCCTAAACCCTAAACACTAGAACCCTAAACCTAAACCCTAAACCCTAAAACGCTAAAGCCTAAACCCCTAAACCCTAAACACTAGAACCCTAAACCTAAACCTTAAAAGCCGTCGGGGTTTTTAGATGTTTCGTTTTCGCAGCCGGGACCGGAGTAGGAGCCTTCCTGGCCCTCGGGTGGCGCTTTTCATGGGTGTGTGAGTGGTTGTAATACGGTTCAAAGGGCTCCAAGGGTGGGATGAAGGTAGGTGGGATAACTGCAAGATAAGAGCCCTTACATAAGGGCTCCTTAATCCTACCTACCTTCATCCCACCTTTTGAGGCCTCCTATTTGTTACAGTAAACATGGTAATGACAATTAGAAAATACTAAGAATCCTAGTGGGAGTAGTACTAGTAGTCATAGTCATAACGATTATGATAACAACAACAACAACACCAACGCCAACGCCAACGCCACCGCCACCGCCACCGCCACCGCCACCGCCACCGCCACCGCCACCGCCACCACCACCACCAACACCACCAACACCAACACCAACACCAACACCAACACCAACACCAACACCAACACCAACACCAACACCAACGCCAACGCCAACGCCAACACCAACACCAAGACCAACACCAACACCAACACCAACACCAACTTCAACACCAACACCAACACCAACACCAACAACAACAACAACAACAACAACAACAACAACAACAACAACAACAACAACAATTATTTATTGGACGCTGAGCGAGCGGGCTCTGCTCATTGCGGGCGAGCAGAAACTTCGGAAGCGTGCCATCCCCGAGTGTGCCGTGAGCCAGCGCCACCGGATTAGCCATAAGCTAGCACCACTCCCTTAGGATCTGACCTGCCGACATTCTTATAGAGGTTACGGGTCTTCGCCCGGCGGCCTTGTAAAGAAAAAGAAACAGACTGGCGCTTTGCGCGAGGGGACTGCCCATGCGAGAATCGCAGGTACCTCCTTCATCCGTTTCTGAGAACTACGACCGAAGTCAGGCCCCGAGGCCTCGCGTAAAACAAGCCAAAACGAACTGACCTAACAAAACCAACAGAGAAGACCGCGCAACCCCTATAGGATCCTCAGTGAAGGAAAAAGAGGAGCCGATGCAACAAACGTTAAAAGAGAAAAGGCCTAAGTCAAGAAGAGCAGCGCTGCAGACTGTACACAGCAGCAACAGCTCTTGGGCACCAGCCTCTAGGGGATAGGCCACAAGAAGTTGACTTCAGTTACAAAGGCGTTGCCCGTTTTTGCGCGAGCGATGCCCGAAACTCCTAACGTGACAGCCCGACTCACAAAGTCGTCGTCATGTAGCCTCCGTCACCCTCAGTGTGAGTCATTGCGTCCAATACTCACGAACTGGCAGCCGGTGGGTCGTACTCAGAAGAGCCGTCTCCCAGAGTTCCCGTCTAGTGGCGTCCCACACTAGGTAACTCCCGGCTACCAGCGATGGGCCGTAAGGATAATTCGTCGTCAAGCAAAAAACACGTGGGCCGTCACTCCTAGCACTGCCTGACCCCGTCGGTAACAGGACAGTAACGAACACACCTGGGAGGGCCGTAGCCGTAGCCCGACACCCATAGCACAGCGAGCGCGTCCGCTTAACGACTGTACCCAGATGTGACGTGGAGCCGTACCAGGTAGACACCGTGCTGGAACTGAAGACGTTGGCCAACTCTGCTGAACCTGAGTCCCCAGTGTCCCAATCTGCGCCTTGTCTTGTAGACAAGTCTGGCCCGGCGGCCCCCGAGAGGCCTCCCCCACCAGAGAGGATAGCCCCTCTAGGCCCACAAGGGCACCCCATAGCAAGAGGAGTCCCTGAAATGCCCGTCGGGGCCAGCATTGGGAGGATGCTGACGCGTTGTGAGTCACCACGTTGCGCCTAGCCTGTCCTGAGTCTGACTTGCTCCCAGGCGCTGGCGGCTGAACAGAAGTGAAGCGCAGAAAACACTCAACCGTGACGAAGAGCTCTCGATCGCACTGGCTTCGTAGCAGCCGGTGGCAGTCCACTGTGCCGTTGAAGGAAAAACTAGTGCTCGAAGAAGACTGCATGAGAATACCAGACGATCCGTGTCCTTCTTGCGGAGGTGTACCAGTTAAAGCGCAAAACCAGAGCGCCAGCAAAACTGCGCAGGAGAGACCTTGAGCTGTACCTGGGTGTCTTGTCGTGTAGCTGGAAAGTCGAAGAGAGGAGCGGAACGAGGCCTCAACTCGAAAGCTTCCTTCAGGATACCCAGGTGCAGAAGATGGCCAACCCATGACTGGGGCCGCCCCTTGAATGGCTTGGTGCGGCAGGTCCTTTTGTAAATGTAAAAGCATCGGCAGGAGAAAAGCACTGAGGCACAGTCGACGCGCCTTCCGCTAGTTTCGCCGGAAAGAGAAAACTCGATCCGACTCCCTTCACCCCGCGGAAAGGTGATAACCCTACCGCTTACCTCTTGCCAATGTTGTGTAACTGCAGACAGAGGCCCGGGAATTGGGACCCGGTAGATCGCAGCGACACGTGGCTCCAGGGATGGCTATGGCTCAATAAGAGGACGGTCCCTTAAGCTTCGCAGAAGGGGGACGTTGCGAGCCTCTAGCGTTGGTACCCAGAGCCTTGTTAGCAAAGCTACACAGCCTGCTGTGATCCATAGCGGCTACAACAACAACAACAACAAGCAACAACACACAACAACAAACAACAACAAACAACAACAAACAACAACAAACAACAAACAACACCAAACAACACCAAACAAGAACAAACAACAGCAAACAACAGCAAACAACAACAAACAGCAACAAACAACAACAAACAACAACAAACACCAACAAACAACAACAAACAACAACAAACAAACAGCAACAACAACAACACCAGCAACAGCAACAACAACCACAACGACCACAACCACAACCACAACCACAACGACAACCACAACCACAACCACAACCACAACCACAACCACAACCACAACCACAACCACAACCACAACCACAACCACAACCACACCCACAGCCACAACCACAACCACAACCACAACCACAACCACAACCACAACCACAACCACAACCACAACAGCAGCAGCAGCAACAACAACAAGGAGCGAACAAAAACAGGATCTGCTTCGCCTGCGCGTGCACAGGTTGGCATTTAATATCGCAACGCTTCTCTACGTATGCACAGGTTGACATCTCACAGCGAACATAGCGAACATAGCTGACTAAGGTCCAGGCTTTGGTGTATCTTCGAACTCGCCGCCTTCCGCAAAGCCAACCCGGAGGGGAAGATCACTCTGAAGCCACTCTTTGTTGAGATGGCGGTGCTCTGCATTTGGGTGGTACTCTTTGGGATGAACATCTGCTTCTTCATTGCGAGATCGGGCCGAAACGGTGCAAACATCGCTGCATATACGCTTGCAATCGTACCCTTTCCACCCGCCGTGTACGTGTTGAGGAAGAACTACCTAGCCAAGAAAAAACTGCTCGTTGACATGGAGGAGTTCGATCTAAACCGGGTGAGCTGCTACAACGAATCCGACCGCCCTTTGGCCTCAAGACAGCCAAACTTGAATGCAGCCCATTCCCTAAATCGTAAACTGCTTTTTTGGGATCCTGACCCAGTATGCTCGTCTGCGAGTGCATTTTTTATGGGTTTCCTCTGGTGGGCTCTCGGCGAGCTGTGCCGAGGAGAGTTCATCCATTCTGCGATCTCGGACTGGTACGGCAGTGCGCAGGCCTTCACGCGCTTCGTGCAGGGGCCGCTTCGCAGGGAGCTTGTCGCCCCGATCCTGGCCACAAACCTGCCCTGGTCATATATCTTTCTGATCATCACTCCGACGTTCAGCCTTAGCATCTTGGGACCCGTTGTTTAAGGCATGTAGTCGGCAGTGCAGGGCTCCGTGGCTCCTTTCAAAAGAGCCCCTCCTGCCCAGGTATGGAGACTCTGCTTGCGCTCTGGAAGGGGGGTGCTCCGGTGGAGTGCTTGATAGCCTGGACTGCTGGGATGCTTCTGGGGAACAACTGCTTCTTTGTTCCGGCCGGCATCGTGCTCATGCTCTACCTTTGCGACCGCTTTGCTGCCCCTGTGGGCTCCACCTGTCTTGCAGGATTTCTGATGCCCGCCTGCAGATAGTATACAAGGAGGCCCTTGGAGACTTCTCATAGAGACAGCTCCCTCCCAGCACCCAGAAGGATACCATAGAGGCCTACATAACTACCTGTGCTATTTTGGGTGCTTCTAATTTTTGTTTTCTGGGCTCCAAACCCTATTCTAGTTGTTTGGGCCCCTATGCTATGTTGCGTGAAAGTTCCGGGGTTCGGAGCTGAGGCAGTCACTGGCAATCGTCTTCGTGATGATTTTCTATGCCCTGGTCGTCAGTGCCTCCAGCAACCTTCTCATCTATGCGGGAGTTTGGACAGTGCCTGGGGAAAACTTGTCCCGCTTTTCTGTTTGCTCCGAAGTTCACATTGGGTTTTGGGTCATTAGTGACTCCTTCATTTGGTGTTCCAGAGGAAGCCATAATTTGGAGAACTGCACATATCGGGTCATGTTGGGTTTGTTTAGGGTTGGTACGGAGGATGCAGACGGCTCACAACCATAATTTGAGATTCATGTGTTTTAGGATTTCATGCATCGTTTAGATTTTGCTTGTTGTGCACTGGTTCTGAGGGGTTGAGGGTTCCGTCAGAAGACGACGCCAAAAGCAAGCGCAGCTGCCAGCCAACAGTTCATTCAAGCCAGAATGAGCTGAATCAACGACCGCCAAACCCTTTACTTAAGGACAGCATGCCCGTGAGTTACGGTAGGGTTTCTTACTACCGGTCTTTAACCGTCCAAATAAACCCTTAACCCCAAACCCTGAACCCCGCAACCCAGCCAGGCATTGGTCTGGCTTGGCATCGCAGTCCTCTGCTTCCTCGCCCTGACGATCGTCTACTCCCGTCGGAGACCGCACTTCGTTGACTTCGTTGATCCCTAGGCTTGGCGACGGAACAAAGCCCCCAAGCGCTAAACCCTCAACCCTAACCCTGAGACCCTAAAGCCTTGAACTCTAAGACCCTATCATAGGAGGCCAAAACGAGTTTTAGCCTATGGGGGTTTAGTAGGGATAAGGGTTCCCATAATTGGGTTATTAAGGAATCCCTACCCCCAGAATTTGAAGCCCCCCTACTTTGGCCTCCCATCACCCTACCGGACACTGAGATGTCGGGAGTCTCTTACACCCCCCCCGCTTGGAGCCTTATGTTTCGAGGCCCTGGCTGCATGGCTTCTGAGAGGAACGGAGGTTCAAAGACGTCGTGCTTCAGGCTTTACAGGCACTTGAAAGCCGGGTAGGATGAAGCCGTGGTATGGCTCCACCTTGTCAGCATCATCACGATAAGCTTGCACTCGTCCTTGGTTTCATCATTGAGTTCGCCGGAACTTGATCTCGTGGTATTCGTAGGTGGCAGAGGGACGATAGTCCCGAATCTGCCGGTACTGGGTCGGAGAGCTTGACAAAGTCATGACATCCGGACGCCATTGTACTTTGTTTTAAGGGTTTTACGGTTTTGAAGGCGAGTGTAAGGGTGTTACGATCTTCAAGGCTTTCTGTGGTTGGAGGATCCTCGGGTTGAGAACTTGTAGGACTTTCGGGGCTTTGGGCATTTGGGGTTTAGGCTTCCTGGGCCCGGTGTGTGAAAAATCACCGTCAGGGCTGATAGCGCCAAGGCGCGAGGCGCTGTTTTCCGGACGATTCCTCGGAGAGTACCCAGAGAACCCAATACCCCTTGATTGAGGAATATACTTTAGGTCATATTAGGGATCCTATTATAATTTCAGGTATATTCCTTAATTAAGGACTAGCAGGAAGAGAATTGCATTCAACAAATCCCTGCAATAGAATGTCAGTTTTCTCGCAAAGGCTTGTCTGGGAAGCACTTCGCGAAGCTTCGCAGGTTCACTTTGTGGTGGCCGGAAAAGGTCAAATGCTGGAGGGTTTAGGATTTAGGATTCAGGGTTTAGGATTTAGGGTTTAGGATATAGGGTTTAGGATGCAGGGTTTAGGATTTAGGGTTTAGGATTTAGGGTTTAGGATTTAGGGTTTAGGGTTAGAGTCTGACCCTAAGCCCTCTGCCGGCCCCAACTGTTCCTAGGTCGTTCTTTGAAATTGTGCTTTGAACAACGTATGGTAGTAGGGTAGGGGGTAGGGAGGGTAGGGTAGGGTGGGTAGGGTAGGGTAGGGTAGGGTAGGGCAGGTGGCATTTGCCGGAGGAGCCACAAGAAATGCAAGAAAGCAATCGCGAAACCGTAGCAATCCCACTGCAGCCTTTAACGCTGTATGGCCCCACAGTTTCGAACATACCACAGCAAATCTACAAGAGCATGATGATAAGCCCATCCTTTAAGAACCTCTACACCCATAAAGGTCCCCCCAAGATCCGGACTGCAGCAAGTTCCTTTTGGGTACTCGTCAGCATGCAATGCGCAACTGGAAATAGAGTTTGAGCTTCAGGGTTCCAATCTTGGCCTGAAGGGTCTGCTTGGAGGGGCAGGGGTCTCAGTAAGTATGTTATGAGAAGAGTTATATGTACCCTAAACGGAGTTACCCCAAAAATAACTCTACACATAACCTACTTACTAAGTCTCCGGCCCCCCCCAAGTGGGGTTTAAGGTCCGGGGTTAAGGTCTATAGGCAATGCAATTCAAGGAATCATCGGAGACCTGCGCGACTCACCCTTCTTTATCCAACATACAGCCTGTGCAGACCCAATTCACTTAGGCTTTCAGTTCGTCCCTTGTAGCTACTGACCTTGGAACCCGTCTCGAGTAGGACAGAAGGAAGCAGGGGTTCTTCTGTCTGCCAGGAAGTCGCCAAATCCCCGAGTTCGTTGCTGCTACATGTGTGTGTAGTGGATACCACGAGTGACAGAAAGGTTTCATGTTCGAAGCCCGAAGCCCTAAACCCTAAATCCAGCATGTTGTCTTCGTCGACCGGCTGAATGCCGATCCGGGGTCCCGCTGTTGGGGTTTAGGGTTGCGGGGTTTAGGGTTTAGGGTTTGGGTCAGGGATGTCGATTTAAATTCGCATTCAACCCGTTTCTAAATTCGAAATCCGGCCTCATCCGTGATTGTCTGGTGTCCCAAAACTACCAGACTAGCCAGAGTCCTCAAACTCCGCAGCCCTGAACTACAGCCCAGAAGTCAAGAACTCTAACGCCTCGCAGTCCTTACATAAGTATAGTACAGTATAGTATAGCACAGTGTCATGCGTAGAGTATAGTAGTATACAGTGCAATCCCATTCCTAGAGCCCTCATTAGCGCATAAACCCCAAATCCCAAACAAACCCCTGTAGAACCCTTAAAGGACCCCTATACTTCCCATACATGAACCTCTATAGAAACCCTAAGAACCCCCAATCCCTAGACCCTAAACCCTAGACCCCAAACCCTAAACCCTAAACCCTGAACCCTAGAAGCCCTAAGCCCATGACACTCTCCCACGATTTTTTACCGGCTCCAGCTTGCAGCACAAAGCGACCTGCAAGCGGAAGGCGAGACCGAACCGAAAGGCGCAAGCACTCGAATTTTTCTAAGACTATAGAGATCTCTAAACCACTGAACCCCTAACCCCGTAAAACCCTAACCCCTAAACCCCTGAAGCCCTAAATCCCTAAACCCCTTAAAGCCCCTAAACTACTAAAACCTTAAACCCCTTAAATGCCTGAACCCCTAAAGCCCCTAAACCCCTAAACCCCTAAACCCTAAACCCTAACCCCTAAAGCCCCTAAACCCCTAAAGCCCCTAAACCCCTAAACCCCCAAACCCCTAAAACCCTAACCCCTAAAGCCCCTAAACCCCTAAAGCCCCTAAACCCCTAAAGCCCTCGAACCTGGCAGGCGCCATGTGGAAGACTTTCTTGGCACTTGTGGCCTGTGTGCTTGCGGAGGAGCGCTCAGGGTCTGGGGTGTTGGGGTTTGGGATCTAGGGGTTTAGGGATTTGGAGGTTTAGGGGTTTAGGGGTTCAGGGCTTTGGGTTGAGGGTTTGGGAGTGTGGGGCTAGGGTTTATGTAGTGCATATCACAACAACGGTATTCGATATTTTGGATATTGGAGTTTTAGATTTTTGACATCGTGTATATATATATATATAAATGTATACATATCTATCTATCTATATATATATATATATACATATATATATATATATATATGTATATATATATATATATACATATTGTATATATGGTTGTGCGCTATGCGTTCTCGGCCCCCCCCCCTCCCTCCCCCCCGCAATGGTATCACCCCCCCAACTACAAGGGCCTGAAGCCTGGAGGCCTTCAGGACTCCCGCTACAGGCGCGACGCACCGCGTATTGCAACCCGCTTGGCCCGCCCGCGACGCACCCGCGTAATTTCCACAGTAAAGGTAGGGTTTCGACGCAAAACTGAGTAAAATTATTTTTACTCCGAAGGCCTCCAAGCAGGGCTTCCTGTGAGCAGTAAGCAACATGTTCTAGGCAACACTCAGCAAGGTTACTCGTGTCCCAAAATTTCAAAGCAAAGCTATGTAAAATTCCTTAGAAAAGGGTTCCAGGCAATACTTTGTAACATTATTCACGTACGGAGGTGCTCTAAGCAAGGTTCTAACGTAAAAGTCGTAGCAAAGGGGATACTTGGTCAGAGTATTCGTGTAGTTAAGGGGTTCTAGGCAATACTTCAGATTATTCGTGCAGTTAAGGGGTTCTAGGCAATACTTCTTTAGATTATTCATGTTCTAAGGGTTCGTAGTAAACAAGCTACATTCAGAAAGACATGGTGTGTGTGTGTGTGTGTGTATGGCAAAAGGGAAAACCATTCCGTTCCACAGGGGGGGTTCTACTTCCTCCCTGGCCCACACGCACAGTTGGAAAACCGGAGACGGAGTTCGCATTTCGCAGCAGCAGAATACCGCACCACCACAGAATGGAACGGAGGCTTAGCAGGAGAGCATGCGCGGAGAATGCCGTACATACACAGACACACGGTGTGTGTGTGTGTGTGTCTGTCTGTCTGTCTGTCTGTCTGTCTGTCTGTCTGTCTGTCTGTCTCGGAGCAAAAGGGAAAACCATCCTGTTCCAGGGGGGGGGCCATAGGGCAAACCATCCTGTTCCACAGGGGGGGGAGAATAGAAAAAGGCAAACCATGCCGTTCCACAGGGGGGGGAGAATACACGTCGATTACTCATGAAAATATATAAGAATACTAACAGGATACCATACAAAAGGGGGAGGGGGGGGAGGGGGGGGGGGCCCGCCAGCCGGGGCAACCATTTGTGATCCCGGTTCGGCCGACCCCCTCCTCCCCCCAAATGGTTCCTCCTCCCCCGCCTGTGGTGTGGTGTGGTTGGGTTGCTTCCCCCTCGTTCGGGAGTGGGTCTGCTTAGGCTGGTTACCCCACTCCCCCCTGTGGTGTGCTGTAATTTGGGTTTCCTGCGTGGGTCTGCTTGGCGTGTGAGCCCTCGTGTGGAAAAAGCTTGCACAGTCACACGCAGATTCGGCTTGGGGAGCGTGGGGGGGGGATACCATTGGGGGGGGGGGGTCGGTGAACCGAGAACCGAGATCATATATGTCTCTTTTGCTTTCTATTTTACATCATGATTCGGGGGAATTCAGGGTTTGGCGAATGTGGCTGTTGTGCTGGTTGAGGAGGATGGATCCTGCATGCTGCAGAGGAAGCACATGGAGTCCAAACTCATGACCGAAAAGGATTTCTGCAATGGAGTGATCAAAGAGCTCAACTTCAACAACTTCAGCCACGGCGACGAGATCTTGCCCGACTCCGTCCCAGGCGTGACCATCGAGGCCACCCGCCGTGCCACGGAGCCGGAGCCGGGCTTCCCGAAGAATTGCTCAGGGCCCTTGCTGATTTTGGACACTCGCGATCCCGACGGTCGCAGCTTTGACAAGGACCTGAAGAATTGCGAGAATTGCACCCTGATGCTATGGTCCAAGGACGGCAACCGCAAGAAGGTCAACGACTGTGGCGAGCACCCGGGTGTGATGATCAGCTTTAAGTACGAGGAACTGCAAAGCCTGATGGACATCGAGCTTTGGGACCTCGAGGAGCCAACCTTCATCGAGCTGTACGGACCGGAAGGTGAGCTGCTGAAGAACATCTCCGCACCGGATGGCCCGGACCAGGACGGCAACCCCGCCGTGGTCGACCTCTTTACAGAGGGCGTGAAGGAGATGATCGTCTACATGGGTGGTTCTGGAGCGGTCCGCAAGATCCGAAACTGTGTTCCTCCGCCGCCCTTTTGCCCTGGACCCCCCGGTGAGCTCACCTTCAACAGCTTCAGCCACGGCCAAGAGATCTTGCCCGACTCCATCCCCGGTTTGACCATCGTGGCCACCCGCCGTGCCACGGAGCCGGAGCCGGGCTTCCCGAAGAATTGCTCAGGGCCCTTGTTGATTTTGGACACTCGCGATCCCGATGGTCGCAGCTTTGACAAGGACCTGAAGAAATGCGAGAATTGCACCCTGATGCTATGGTCCAAGGACGGTAACCAGAGAAAGGTCAACGACTGTGGCGAGCACCCGGGTGTGATGATCAGCTTTAAGTTCAAGAAGCTGCACGATCTAGTGGACATTGAGCTTTGGGACCTCGAGGAGCCAACCTTCATCGAGCTGTACGGACCGGAAGGTGAGCTGCTGACTAACATCTCCGCACCGGACGGCCCAGACCAGGACGGCAACCCAGCGGTGGTGGAGTTGCTGACGAATGGGGTGACTGAGCTGGTCTATGAGGGAAGCGAGTGAGTTATCGAACATGCCTTTCATGTCTTCTTGTCTATCAGCTTTGTTGTAACAGGGCCAGGGTATCTCTTTGAGCTGGCCATAAAGCCCTTAGCGCGCAAGGGATCCCCGATCTCCGCGACGGTGTACCCAGAGAGCCACATACCCCTTAATAACCGGAATACAAACCTTAAATCTTCAGGGGCCCTAAACCCTAAACCCTAAACCCTAAACCCTAAACCCTAATTATAGTCCTTGATTAGGGGATCCTGGGCTCTCTGGGTATGGGCCGGTGCTCCTACATGAGCACATTTCCGCAGGGTGAAGGAGCTTCTCTGAAAGAAACCCCAAACCCCAAACCCTGAACCCTAAACCCTGAACCCTAAACCCCAAACCCTAAACCCCTCAACCCTTATGCCTCATGGTACTCTTACAGGAACCTTTCGAGGGAGCCTCAAAGAAGTCTTGAACCCTCATGCTTAGGTGAAGGAGATGATCTATTCTGTAGAAATCCCTAAACCTTAACCCCAAAACCCTAGACTCTAACAAGCCCTTATGGTACCCTTATAGGAACCCTAAACCCTAAAGCTCAGGTGAAGGAGATGATCGTCTACATGGGCGGCTCAGGAGCAGTTCGCCGCATCCGGGCTTGCAAAGCCCCCGGCAGCGTCGTAGGCGCCGGGGGGGGGGGAGTTCAGGGGTGTAGGGGTTCAAGGGTTTCGGGATTCAGGGATTGGGGTTTTGGGGTTCAGGAGTTTCGGGGTTCAGGGATTGGGGTTTTGGGGTTTAGGGTTTAGGGGTTTGGGGTTTAGGGGTTTTCGGCTTTAGGGTTTGGGGGTTGGGGTTTGAGGGTTTGGGGTTTAGGGGTTGGGGGGCGTGGTGGGAGACAGGGCCAGGGCAGTAGGCGTTTTTGTTTGGTTTTCGTGGGTTCAGCGCTTGAGTTAAACCTTCAAGTCCACTTAGACTCTACCAGCCCTAAATAAGTTGCCCTCCAGCAAGGCATCCAAGGAACCGTAAGCTGCAGAGTCCAACATCTTCAATGTAGGAATTTAAATGCTGGGGTCTGAAAATCATTCTTGGTAGGTGGATTTTCGTACAGTCCTTATACAATTGCAGTACACTCTAGCCCCCTGCTACATAAATAGAGCAAACCACAGGTGACCCGCACATCTACACCCTGGACGGCGACAAGTTCGACTTCTATCAGCAACGCGGCCGAAAGTGTAGGTGATTCGGGGTGTAGGGTTTGCAAGACTACTCTTGATGATGCCTTCTTATGATTGCACTATGTTGTCTCCCCCCAGACTTTATTCGTGTCGTTATGGCTCCTTATTCACATTAACGCCAGGATAGTAGCGGTCCAGGACCTAAGAGCTGTCCGTGAAGTCAACGGCCAAGGATTTCCCACACGGTTCGAGGTTTTGAGGGTTCTAGAAGTTGCTTTATGCGATTTGTGTTTTAAAGGTGTACTTCAAAAGCACTGCAGCATAGCAGCAAGCTGAAGCTTCTAACAGCCAAGGATCCGATCGCCTTCAACTTCGCTTAGGAACCTTAAGTCATAAACCTTAAAACATACACCCGAGACCCTAAACCCTAGACCCTAAACCCTAAACCCTAAACCCTAAGCCCTAAACCCTAAACCCTAAACCCTAAATCCTAAGCCCTAGACCTTGCACCATAAACATAGCCTGAACCTTAAATCTTCGCATAGGAACGGGACGTTCTCCGTGTTCCACTACCACGGCCAGAAGTTGGCACTCCCGGAGGAGCAGAATGCGACCGTGGACTGGTACACTTGACTGCAGGGTTGATATGGAAGTTTCCGAAAATTAGGGGTACATTTTTGGAGGTCCTTATAATAGGGATCCTGCTTTTGAGGGTACTATATCAGAGTCCCCTATCTGCGGAAACTCCCATAGACATTTGCGCACAGAAACAATCAGACGAATAATATAGACAAGTTAATACGTGAACGAGCAAATAGACAAAGAGATACTGGCTTAGGTGAATGAGCATGTGCAGAAGAGGTGATTTTGTAGATAATGTGTGGTATATTTGCATAAACAATCACATAACCTTTTAAGTGATGGTTAACGTATAAAGTGCTAAGCAAAGCATATAGGCACACAGGATTACACATGCCAAGAAAAGCACATATCTAATGTAAGCAAGTAAATGCACCGATAGATGAGTCGATGTAGGAATCAGTCTACAATTTTTGCGGGAACATAGTAGCAATAACAAGAGCTGCTGTTGATTATCATTGTTATCATTGTTGTTGTTTGTGCATGCTCTGCGTGCTTTTATTGTTGATACTCCTATCTTTTTACTACCTCCGGGCTTTGTGGGAGGGTCAAGGCTAGAGAAGTTGTTGGCTTAGGTTTCAGGATAGGTTCGTGTCTGGGTCTTGCAGGAGTTCAGGGCTGACTTTGTCTGTCTGGTTCTTAGTAGGGGATGGATGATGGAGACTATTATTGGGGAGAATATAGGTACTACTTTTAGGGATCCTTCCCCCCATTCCCTACTAAGCACCAGGCAGTTGTGGGTGTAGGTCCAGTCTAGCTCGGGACCCGAAAGAGTCTCACGCATGCTACACTTGTCTTCTGTGAGTGAAGCATTTGCTGATTGTGGCAGTGGGTTTAAGGTGTATAGGGGTTCAGCCACTGGGAATCATGTTGTGAAGTTTGTAACGAGAGTTCGTGCTGGCTGCGAACATCAGCTCGCTTTCCATTCTTTCATGTAAGCAATTGCATGGACAGCCCGCTCGAATGGAGCATTGGTACGTTTGAACATGTCAACAGCAGAAGAAACATTGGCTTTTGTCAGACCTGAATTATCGTTGGGCGATGGGCTAAAGAAGTTCCAGCACCAAAACCTTACATCCTTCATGCACACACCTGTACATATATGAATATGTAGAGTTTGTTGTATATATGCAGATATACATACCTTAAGCCTTCCACGCCAAACCTTGGCAACCGCAAACTCTAAGCCCTAAAGTTACGCCCACGTGCACCCTAAGCCCGGAGCCCTGCATTGCGGCCCTTTAGAGCAGCAGAGGATCATGTTCAGAGGAGGACCTGCCCCCTAAACCCGAAATCTAGGTAGGGCTTTAGGACATTTCATATTTTCCCGTATTGGGCTTGAGAGGATCTTATTTACGAATTTTTTTCAAAGGCTATAAAAGCCCCTAAACTCGAAATCCCAAATTCTAAGCCTTAAATCCGCAACTCATAATCATAACCCTACGCTGCATCGCCAGCACCCCAATAGGCACATTCGCCGAAGCATCCTACCTTTGGCGTACAAGGGCTCCTCCACAAAGGGCTGCTGCAAAGCCGTAGTCTGGCAGACCCAAGCTCCAAACCCTAATTAAAACCTAAACTCTAGACCCTAAGCATTAAACTCTGAGCCCTAAACTCCCCCAAAGAATCCTTCAACTCTAAACCCGGATCCTAGCCCACCCCCAAAGAAACAAACCCTAAAGCCCTCTAAGTTATGAGCCCCAGGCCCGAAACGCGACACCTTGAGCTGCAAATACCTAAATGTTTGGGGTTTACTTGGGGTCGGGGGACTTAGTAAGTAGTTAGTAAGTAGACCTATAAGTACCCTAAAAGGGACCCGAATTGGGGTTATGGTACTTATAAGTCCCTAAAATAACCAGTTACTAAGTCCCCCGACCCTCCAAGTAGGGTTTAGGGACCGCATGAGGCAGCTGTACTCCCACTACGGCGGACCTTTCTGGACGGCGCAGAGCAGCCGGAGCTGGAAGTTTAGGTTTCGGCGCTCGGCGCTTTGGTGCCTACCCAGAGAGCTCAATAGCCCTTAATTAAGGAATATGGCTTAAATTATATAGGGGCTCTTTTTATGATTTAAGCTATATTCCTCCCCTTAATTAAGGAATATGGCTTAAATTATATAGGGGCTCTTTTTATGATTTAAGCTATATTCCTTAATTGAGGGGTATCGGGCTCTCTGGGTAGAGAACCGGTGTAAAATCTTGAAGTCTACGTGGGTTTTTAGGGTTTAGGGCTCAGGCTCTGGGGCTTCGGCTTTAAAGGGCCTGGGTTTCCTAGGCTTTGGGGTTTAGGGTTTAGGGTTTGGGGTTTAGGGTTTAGGGTTTAGGGTTTAGGGTTTAGGCTTAGGGTTTGGGGCTCCGGCCCGAGCCTCGAAGAAATGGGGAACCCCTCGAGTAGACCCCCCGGAGAGTTGGGGTTGGGTTTAGGGTCGGTTTGGGCTTATGTAGAAAGCTGAGGGGTTTAGGGGTTTGGGGTTTAGGGGGTTTTCGGCTTTAGGGTTTGGGGTTTAGGGTTTGAGGTTCATAGTAACAGTAGTAACCCCCGAAACCCTGCGCAAGTTAACTTTCAGATCCTTACAGAGACTCTCAGCCCTGGAAGCCTTCTTAATTTAAGACCTAAACCCTAAACCCTAAACCCTAAACCCTAAACCCTAAACCCTAAACCCTAAGACCCCTAGAGCAACGCCAAACCCTGGAATCCCTTTTAACTCAACTTTAGACTCGTAAAGTAGCACTAAACCCTGGAACCCCTTCCAGTTTTCCTTAAGACCTTTGAAGTAACACTAAGCCCTGGAGCCCATCTTCATTTGGGAGATTCCGAAAATAGGGGACCCTAATATAGTACTTGAAGTAGTCGGATGAGTATTACAAGGACCCCAAAATAAGGTTACCCCCCAATTTTCGGAAGCTCCGAGTTTAACACCTTTGAGCACCTTTCAGGCGACCCGGAAATCTACGGAGACTCCCCAAAAAAGGGCCGGGTTTAGGGTTTAGGGTTTAGGGGAAAGCCTCGCAGAGACGACTCCTCCGAGCTTTTAGAAGAGCCTTGCTCTCGTTCCCGAAAATCCCGTAATTAAGGAATATTTCTTTACATTACAAAAGGGGATCCCTTATATGATTTAAGGGATGTTCCGAAACCTTGTAACCCCATTGTAGAGTGAACGATATGCGGATATATGTGAATATGTATGTATACATCTCTCCATTCTGGTAGTTACGTTCCGAAATCCCAACACTTTGCAAGGAAGCCTGAAAGCCCAAAGCCAGCCTCAAGGGGGGACCCCACCCTGAAGACCCTCAGCACAACTCAAGCCTTTTCACCAACATCCTTAAAGGGAACTCCAGAAAGTTGGAATATGGTTTCATGGTAGGATCCCCTATAGTTCAGCCTTAAAGGGGTTACGATAATGATACTCCAACTTTCTGGCTTCTACTGTAACCCCGAACAACCTGCCTTTCTGATGGCTTAGGGGTTTAGGGTTTAGGGTTTAGGGTTTAGGCTTAGGGGCTCATTAAAGGGGTTACGATAATGATACTCCAACTTTCCGGCTTCTACTGTAAAGCAACACCGACCTCTGAGAGATCCCATCTTAAAGGGCGGCTTACTTGGAGGGTCGGGGGACTTAGTAACTGGTTATTTTAGGGACTTATAGGTACCATAACCCCAATTAGGGCCCCTTTTAGGGTACTTATAGGTCTACTTACTACCTACTTACTAAGTCCCCCGACCCTCCAAGTAAAGTAGAAGCACTCAGAAACCCTGAGCCCTCAACGCCAACTTGAAGCCTCAGAAACCCAAGCCCCGAGCCCCAAAAAGCCCCAAGAGAATCCTCCAGGCATCCCCTAAACCCTAAACCCTAAATGCCTAAACCCTAAACCCTAAATGCCTAAACCCTAAACCCTAAATGCCTAAACCCTAAACCTTCAAAAGGTATCCTTCTGGTGGATCGCTCGATGGGCTCCCTTCGACAGGCTCTGGAGCTCAGCTCCAAGGCAACCGCGGGTGTGTGGGGGCCGGAGGTTAGGGTTTAGGGTCTAGGGTTTTTGAGAGTTCGGGTCAGGGGTCGCGGTGCCTGGCATAAAGCCATCAAGCCCCAAAGCATGTCTTGAAGCTCAAGCCTTAAACCCTTGGCCCCTAAACCCTGAACCGTACGCCCTCCCACGGACAAAGGTGCTTAACTTCACAAAAAACCGTCTGCCCTGAGCCCAAGTCCCCGCGCCCTGAGCCCTGAACCACAAACCCGAAATCACAGAACGAAGCAGGATTGCCAGTGGTACAAGAGGACAGGCAAGACTTGGTTCCCCGTCAAGAACAAGAGGACTGCCAGGGCGCTTCGAGGGTAATGGGGTTTAGGACGGTTTAGGGTTTAGGGTTTAGGGTTTAGGGTTTAGGGTTTGGGGTTTAGGGGTTTACAACAGGAGGGTTGAGGGCTCAGGCGCCGCTTGAGGTATGTGGGCAGTTGTCAAAATTATGGACCCTTCTTGGGTCGGAACTTGATATTTAGAGTACCCCCAAAAGGGACCATAATTTTGACAACTACCCATGTGTCACCCAATAAACGCAGCCTCCTATGTCTCCTCAAGCTTTCAGTTGGACCTCATGCTGTTTGAGGCTTTTCCGATGGGCCTCTGAGCCCCCTTTGTCAGCGTTTTCAGACAGGGGTTGAGGATTTCAAGGGTTTAGGTTTCAACAGATGGCAAAACTGCACATTTTAGGAAGATGCCTTACATCATAGTGATTGCTCATGATTCCCCTAAACCCTGATTCCTAAACCCTAAACCGCAGTCCCTAAAGCCTGACTCGAATCAAAGGGGAACAGGATGGACCCTTAATGGGGACCCGAAGCTAGAAAGTTGGAACATGGCTTTAGGAGGATCCCTTATACTTTACCTTAAGGCCTCGAGGATACTGATGTTCCAACTTTCTGGCTTCTACTGTAAGGTTTCCAGGTAGGGGCTGTCCTCGTTGCAACCTTTGTTTCTGATGCTTGCTTGCTTTGGTTCCATGATGCGTCGGGTCAAGAAACCCTAATCCCTACCCCGAACAACCCCTGCTCAACCTTATGAAAGCCTGCGGGAACTTTTTGGGACGCCAAGATAGAAGCTTCTGAACTGGATAGATTTGGATATAGTATTCCCGTGTAGTACCTGAGCCGTCTAATTGTACCGTATGCCCCACAATCCCATTCAATCCAATCAGACCCCTTAAACCCTAGGCCCCCAAGCCCTAAACCCTAAACCCTAAACCCTAGACCCCAAACCCTACACCCTAAACCCTAAACCCTAAACCCTAAACCCCAAACCCTAGACCCTAAACCCTAAACCCTAAACCCTAAGCCGCCGCAAACCCCCAAACTCCCCGGAGGAGCCTGCTGACTTTCACGGAGCATTCGAGCCATAAGGCTCTTACCATGTTCGAGCACGTGCACGAGAAGAAGATCGTGTTGAAGATGAGGACCTCATATTTATGTTTAGGGTTTAGGGGTTTTTAGGGATTAGGGCTTTTAGGGTTTAGGGTTTCGGGTTTTTGGGGGATTAAGGGGATTTGGGGGTTGGACGTAAGGCAAGAATGTCTACAGCCTAAATCTTGACAAACCCTAAGCACTGAAACCCCGAAATCCCAAACCCCCGATGGTTTCAGAGATTCGAGAGGGCTTATGCAGTCTTTCTGCAAGAAAATATCAAACTCACAACGGCAGCCCTGCACAGATGCTGCAGCCTAAACCAAAAAGCCGCACGGCCCTAAACTTTGGGGTTTAGGGTTTAGGGGTTTAGGGTTTAGGGTTGGGACCTGAAGCCCCCAAACCCTACCTTTCTCAAAGACCAGGACCGACGTCGGATGGAAGGAGACCATGGTACTCAACACCGTCTGCAAGCCCAGTGGAATCAACATGCGTGACTGGGCCATGAAGCACCCGAAAAGACCCTAAACCCTAAATGGGAGTTTCCGAAAAGAGGGGACCCTAATATTGTGCCCTAAATAGTAGGATCCGTATTATAAGGAACCCCAAAAGGGGTACCTCTAATTTTCGGAACTCTCAAATCCTGAGATGGGCGGGTTTTGCGAAGGTTTCCGATAAGTCGGGGTCCCCAACAACTGTTTGGGTCCTAAGCTCCCGTAAAAGACTCCGAAGTTCTCGCAGGGTGCCACTTCCCCTTGTCTCTCGAGATGCTCCTTAGCATTGCATAAAGACGTGATTTCAGATATAATTACATCTGAAAAATCGGCAATCGTTCTTTTTTGTCGTCGTCCTCTTCCGCCTCCTCCTCCTCCTCTTCATCATCATCATCGTCATCAACAGCACCGTCATAATCTCCGTTACCATCATCATCCTCATCCCCATCGCATCCTCAATCTAATCGCCTGATCCGACCCTCCGTATACCCTAAGCCCTAAACACCCTAAACTGTAATTGGCATCATAGTCGTTGTCGCTGTCGTCGTCGTGGCCATCCTCTGTTTTTTGTGACTGGCAATCCTGGACGCCTGAAGTCAAAAGCCTACATGGGTTTAGGGTTGGGTTTAGGGTTTCTGAAACATGGGGTCACTTTTTCCTTTCTAGCTTCCCCAAATCGTATGGCACCCTGACAAAAAGGACCTTAAACGGGACCCTAAGTTAGAGAATGCCCACATCCACGCAACCCCCTGCACCTTAACCCACATACATGTCGAAAGCGAGATCCATCAGCCCTCGCAATTCTTCTTTCAAGGCTTCTAAACCCCAAACGCCTGAACCCCAAACTCTAGACCCTAAGCCTAAACCCCAAAGCCCCTTGCAGTTAGCAAGAAACGCACCAAGCCCCAGGCACATCAAAAGAACAACCCCCAAACCCCTTGCGCTTGAAAAGAAAGCCCCAAAACCCCTTGCACTTGCAGTAGAAGCCCAAAAGTTGGAAACCCAATAGCCTCAATCCCTAAGAGTAATGTATATGGAATCCCAGCGCTATTTGGCCTTAATCAGGTTTCCAACTTTATGGGGCTTACTGTAAAAGAACCACCTTAAAACCCCACGAGTCGAGTCCCTAAACCCCCAGAAAGCGGCTCTTTAGGCATCTCTATGCCGGATATGGGTGAGAGCCGCTTCCTGGAGGGCCAGATCCAGGCTGCCTGTGCTCAGTATACATATATATATGTATATATGTTGTGTTTATACATATATATATATATATATATCTATGTATATATATATATATATACATACTTTGCATTCGTTATTATTCGTCTGCTTCTTCTTCTTATGATTATTGTTATTGTAATACGACTAATTATGGTTTCGGATTTGGCTATGATAATGACTTGGTTGTTGTTAGCGTTGTTGTCAACATATGTGTATTCCTTTTATTCTGCTTCCTCCTTAGTATTCTTCTTGATGCTGGCATAATCCTTCTTTGTTATTGTTAGTGTTATGGTTTTTGTCACGATAGCTATTGCTAGTGTATGATTCTTGCTATTACTATTACTGTAACTAATACAAGATGCTCATCACCAAATACGACTTGCGAACCCTAGGTATTGATAACTTGTTACTGACTGCTGATTACTATAGCCAACGCTATTGCTGTGATTACTGCCGTTGCCGTTACGAATATTAGTGGTATTATCACTCTTCGTTTTATCATGCTTCGTTTTAGTTATTGCTGTTTTGCGCTTGTATTGTTGTTACTGTTATTGGCTCCGGCGTTGTCATTATCATTGCGGTATACAAACGCATGTACACAAGTATATATATATATATATATATATTTATTTATGTATATATACACATGTGTATACACCCACATGTGCACACACACACATGACAGATGTATGTATTTTCACGTATGTCATAAATAGGTTGAGTGTACATACACAATATATATATATATGTATACACACACACATACGTGTGAACATGTTGTTGATGTGTTTCATGGGATGCTGATTATGAGCTTTGCTTTGTTCCAAACTAGGGTTGTGACAGGTCTGTGTAGTTCATGGTAAGGGTCTGAAGACTCGGACCTTGTTTTTGAGGTTTGTTCCAGTTTTCGAAGGAAAGGATAAGGGTTTAGGGTTTACGGGCTAAGTATTTAAACCTCTTCATTTGAAGGCTTGAGGGTTGGACGCCTTCTTGTGGTTGTTTTTAGGGGTTGAGCGCTGCTTTGCGCTTCGGAGTTAAATTTGGGGTCTTGGGCCGGGTTGGGGGTTTAGGACTTGGGTGCTTCAGGTTCAGGATTCAAGATGTAAACTTCCAGACTCGAGATGTGCCTGCCTGCCGTTGATCTGGCGATCCGGTTCTCGGAACATCAGTTGGGAAGTGCTTCTACTGGAGTAGGTACTGATTTGGAATATTTGCGTTAGCTTCCTTTGTTGCTGTAGAGCCTTCGTCATGAAAAAGCGATTTTCAGTGTAGAGAAATAGAGAATCTCAGTCATAAACAGAAACGGGGCACTGTTGAAATCGGCAGAAAATTGAAGTCAGGAAAACTTGTAGCTGGACCTCCAGACAAAACACACCCCAGCAGTTAACTTGAAGCTTCTCTTCTGCGAGGTTGGCAACGGAGAGGAGCAAAAGAAGTTCGTGAGGAGCGGCGCCAATTGTTCAAGGGTTGAGGGTTTAAGAAACCCTAAACCCTAAACCCCTGAAGCGAAAACCTGAACCGATTTCAAGGATCCTTGGCTTCGGGGTTTTATACTGGCCGGGCTTGTGGGCCTCAGGGTTTAGCGATCTCGGGTTGAGGGTTTTTAGGAGTTTTCGGTTTATAAAACCTTGAGTTTAGGGTCGCACGATTAAGGCTTTGGGTTTTGATGTTTTAGGGCTTGCAGCACCGCCATCACCGAGGAAACGACGACGATGATGACGGACTACTGCCGCTACTACGGTTGCATTGCTGCTATCTTTTGCATTGGGGTTGCGATGGCTACTATTATTGGCTGCAGCTATCTGAGCTGCGGCGGCTGCTGCTGCCGCTCCTGCTACTCCTCCGCATGCTGCTACTACTACTACTACTACTACTACTACTCCTACTCCTACTCCTACTCCTACTCCTACTCCTACTCCTACTCCTACTCCTACTCCTACTCCTACTGCTACTCCTACTCCTACTCCTACTCCTACTCCTACTCCTACTACTACTAGTACTACTACTACTACTACTACTACTACTACTACTACTACTACTACTACTACTACTACTACTACTACTACTACTACCGCCACTGCTACTTCTTCTGCTGCGAGGAGGAGGAGGCGACACCGACCACGACGACGATACTATAGAAGCCTCAATAATTACTAGGGTTCCTTCATATATTTAAACTATAAAGGAGCCCCAAAACCCTCCTCTGACTGTTAAGGCCCCTACATGACAGTAGTATTGAAACCGATCCAGAGCTTCCCAGCAAAATCCGAGGCTATCCGAAACTCCGAACCCTCAGAAACCCAAACCCTAAACAACCCTAACCCTAGACTCCTAAACCCTAAACGACCCTAAACCCTCAGAAACCCCAAAGTTCCCCCCGCATTGCAGGAAGCAGAACTGGACGGCCCTTGGGGGAAGTGGCCCCACCGAGAGCTTCATCCAACAGCTTGAATCGAGGACCGCTCCTTAGAGGGTCAGGAGGGTTTAGGTTTTAGGGTTTGGGGGTTAGGGTTTCGGGTTTAGGGTTTAGGAAGGAGGGTTTAGGGTTTAGGGTTTAGGAAGGAGGGTTTAGGGTTTAGGGGGCTGAGGAACCCGGGTAGATGTAGGAACCTGGGCCTATAATCCCAAAACAGTAGGGTTCATAGAAGGGACCTGAAAATTAAAGGCTCAAGAATTTCTTAATCAGTTCCTACATCAGGGGACTGCGGTAGCGGGATTATACGAAGATGCCTATAGCTACGGTTCAAGCATGATCCCACTCAGGTACTTGCAACCCTCGTTTACCAAGTTCCCGAGACCTGTACTGCCCAAGTGCAAAGGTTTTGGAAGGGTCCTCTAGGGGCCTGTATGGGTCCCTTGAGGACCTCAGGGGAGTTTTCACGGTGATCAGCGTTTCACAGACATCTATCAGTGTTTCTTGTAAGCATTCTAGAAAGGTTTCGTACGGGTTCCGCTGCGGAATCTATACGAGTTTGGGTTAGTAAAGGGCTCAGTCCAAAGTTGAGCCTTGATGGCTTAATGGGCCCCAAAACCCTATTCTAATTTTTAAGGTCCTGATACTATAGCACCCTTATGGTATCCCTTAAAGTATCCCTTATTGAGAGCTTAGGGTTGGGCTGCAGCTTGGGAGGCTTAGGTTTTGGTTATGGGGTGCGTTTTTCAAGCCATGAGACAGGGAGTTCCATCAGAGCCAAATGCCTTGAATCCAAGCCGCGAAGCCGAAGGGGTCTTCTAATATAGGGGCCTTAATGATTAGAATAGGGCTTTGGGGCCCATTATACTGTAAGCATAATAAGGAACCCCCAAAATAGCATCGGAAATTATTAAGGCCCCTATAGTAGAGTCTTTGCCCGGGTCTTCACGAGTTTTGTAAGGGTTAAAGATTATGTTCCCTTCCTGAAGTCTACAAACTTGCAATAAGGTGCCCTGATTAAAAAGGCACCGTTCTTTAAGCGCCCTGAAATTAAGCTTTGAATTATCGTTTCTTTTAAAGTGGCCGGGTTTGTCACAGGTTGGGGGGTTTAGGGTTTAGGGATGATCAATTAGTAGAACTGATAGTAGCCGTAGTTGCTAAACTCCTCTGAGCTTAAAAGAGGCCGGCCTTGTTGCAGCAGCAAGTCTGCGGGCAGGCACCGGCGTGGGGCGGGGGTTCTGAGGTGTGAAGGGTTTTGGGGTTTAGGGGTTTAGGGTTTCCGATTTAGGGTTGAATCTATTTGACTTTAGGCTTACCTCAAGGCCTAAACCCTAACCCCGGCCAAAGTGCAGAGTTTGGGCATTGCTTGCTTAGCCAGCCTCTTGCTTGCTGAGACTGTTATGCTCTTTCGATGCTTTTTCCATCTGCTCGGCGAGAATCCCCTCAGCATCGCCAGCATCCCTACCCGTGAAGGCCTCAAGCCCTGAACCCTTCAACCCCACCCAAGCCCTAAACCTTGAACTTCCCCTTCAACAAATATACCCAGCCCTCAAACCTCCAAGCCCACAGCACCCAAATCCTGATCCCTCGAAACCTTAAATACCTTTCAGACCCTGTACGACTATCTTTGTTTAAAGCATACATTGTCATGATAATATAATGCAGTGCAATATAGTATAATTGACTATACAAACATATGCTGTAATATGCTATAATACACTATAAGATACGGTCTTGCTAGTATAGCATAACTTTATCTTAGTATATTGTACCATAATCGTGTACTGTCTTGTACTTGTATTTGTATGAGGCTTTCGGGTCTTTAGCGTGGCTGCCGAAGGCCGAGAGGGCCCAGGCAGAGGAGCTTTGTGCCAAGCACCTGGGGGCTGACCTGCGTGGGGTCCCCGGCATTCTTTGGGTTTAGGGTTAGGGTTTAGGGTTTATCAAAGGGGAAAAGGAGGGACCCTTAGTGGGGATCCTCACCCTATGATGGGCTGTATAATGGGTCTTTATGGTCACGCGCTCCGCAGCCCCCCTCCCTCCCCCCCCAAGGTCAATGGTCCGGATATAGGGTGGGGCCAACTCCCCTGTGGTGTGGGGTGTGGGTTCCCTCTTTTGCTGTGGGGTGGTTGTGGGGGTTTTGGGGTTTTGGGTCTAGCTTAAGCTTTTGAGTTTGGGTTTTACAAGGTATAAGGCTTCGAGTCGACAAGGGCTTAGGGAGGATTTGCGGTGTATGTTCTGCTTTGGGCTTAGAGCCTGCAGTTAGGTGGGGTTTAGGGGTTTAGGGTTGAGTGTAGGGTCTTAAGTACAAGTTAAGGTTACTCAAAACAGGGGCACACGCTGTGTTATAGGGTTTACGGCTTGCTTGCGAAGGGCTTGCGTATGAGCCCTGGCCGCCAGCACCACCATATAGTGGCAGCTCCAACGGCCCCGACCCCTCTCCGCACACGCCAGGCCCCCCCCCCACCCCCTAACAGACCATACCATTGGGGGGGGGGTGGGAACGCCAGACGCCTGACCGTATATACCTAGGCGTCCTTATGAAGGGTCCCTCCTGTTACCCTTGGAGTTTAGGATTTAGGGTTTCAAGAGGCGTCTGGGTTCTTGTTAAGGGATCTATAAGGGCTGCTTTAAGGGATATATAAGGGTTCCTGCAAGGGTTTAGGAACACGGTTTAAGTTGCTGTAATAGGGATCTATAGTCAATAACTTGGTTTCCGTTTTATGGTAATTGAGTTTAAATCCCGTAGCGAGAGCCCCGGCTATCAAAAGGCTCCAAAGGTGGGATGAAGGTAGGTGGGATAATCCCAGAATAAGAGTCTATACGTATATATAATTATATATATATATATATATATATATATATATACATAGACATATTATATATATATACAAACACAAATATAGGGACCTCCCAGGCTTTCTTTCTGGGTTTAGGTGTCTTGGATTTCAGGCATCGTCGTCGTAGTGGTCGCCGTTGTCGCAGATGCATCGCCTCATCGTCGTCGTCGTCATCATCACCACCGTCGTCAAGCTCAGCATGAGCTCCTCCGTTTTTGCTCCCATCTCAGCCATCGTCCTCTTCCTAATCATCTTCTTCCTCATTGTCATCAGCAGCAGTACAATGGGCCTACTGAGCAGTCGAAACATTAGATGATACCCCGCCCTCGTATGCAAACTCTAAACCCGCCCGAGGCACGGCCGTCGGCAACGACGCCGGCATCTTCAGCGACTGTGTCACCGATGTCTGCCGAGGGGGCGTGGCTTGGCGAAGCTCTGTGTATACACGAGCCGGAATAAACAGACTAATATTACTCCTTGGGTTGCTTATCATCAAGCCATACTACAATATACCCCAAAACGTTACTATAACCATTGTAACCCTGCAGTATGTGTCACCATTAGAGTGTGGTAGAGGGTTCATGGATTGGTGGTTGGGGTGTTCGCAGAGATTTGCAGCGAATAGCGGGGCCTCAGACTAGACCAAAGGTACGAGGTTCCTACTTATCTTCTATCTGTCTAGCTTTCTATCTAACTATTTATCTATCTTGCTATCTATATGCATATACATACAAATATGTAATATATATATATATATATATATGTATATGTATATGTATATGTATATGTATATGTATATGTATATGTATATGTATATGTATATGTATATGTATACCTACAAACCACCTTCAGCAAGACACCCGAAAGCGGAATCCTAAAATCCTACACGCAACCCTGAAAGTTGAAAGGCCTTGGTCACTGCACCTCAGAGCTTGAGCAAAGGGGAAGACCCTGTGACACGGTTTAGGGTTTGTAATAAAGGCTGCTTCATGTAGGGCCTTAATGATTAGAATAGGGTTTTGGGGGATATCAGTTTGTGGTTCTGACAGCACCCGAAGGAGCAGTGTTATTCATCTTTCAGGCTTTTCTAGTATTGTAGTTAAGGGACATTCCGCGAAAGGTCCGAAGCAAGACTAAATGAAGGAGTAGTAGGACATACTACATTACAGGCGGTGTGGTGCATTGGTCAAAACTAAGCATGGCATCCCTGCCCCACCACAACGCACTTGCTGAGTTAGCAAAAGCCCTGGACCGTAAACTCTAAGCCTCAGTCCGAAACCTCACACATGAACCCGAATGGAGCAAGAGCTCCGAGAATCGCCATGAAATTCTAAAATCTGTAAACCCTAAGCAGGCCCTAGACCCCTGGAAGTAGTCCGTCAAGTCTGCTGTCAGTCCTACTCGGGCAGACGCACGTTGTCCAGCGTTAGTGTTTAGGGTTTAGGGGTTTAGGGTTTAGGGTTTAGGAACCCAAAACTCTACACTCAAAATCGAAACTCCTCACCAAACTTTGCGCGACCACCTGTCAAGGAGGAGTTCGCTGTTGCCGCGAAGGAGCTGCTGGCGGCATACAATGACTAGGCCACCGCGAGAGGAGTTTAGGGCGAACCCTCTAAGATAGGGGCCTTAATAACGAGAGTAGGGTTTGGCGGTGTATTTTGCTGTAACTATAAAAGGAGAGCCCCCAAAACCCTGGTCTAATTATTCAACTTCCCTACATCACATCCTAACGCGATGTCTTACAGCGTAGAAGTGCAGGGTTGCAGGCTTGGAGTACGCAAGGGAACCCTCCTCCACCTTACATCCCAGGAACCGAACACACTTGGCCAGGCTCTTTGGGCTAAGAAGGATTTGGGGATTTAGGGCTTAAGCCCAGAGACTCCAATATCCCTTAATTAAGGAATATACCTTAAATCATATAAGGAATCCTACTATAATTTAAGGTATATTCCTTAATCAAGGGATATTGGAGTCTCCAGGGGAGGTAGGGCCGGCAGGGCTTGAGATTTTGGGAGCTTGGCGCTTCAGGATTCTTCCGACACCTTTCAAGAAGACTGCGAGCAGGAATGAATCCCGAAAGCCGGAAGCCCAAAGCCGTTCTAAGCCCTCTGGCACGGCAGAGCCCCACAGAGCCCCGTCATACAGGGGCCTTAATCACTACCTATACTATTTTGGGGTTTCCTTATCATTATTCTAGTATACTGGGCCCCAAAACTCTATTCGAAATATTATCAAGGCCCCTAGATTTCCCAGAACCCATGATGCTCCTCTGCTGCAGGTGCAGCCCATCCAGGATCCTTGAGGCATCTTCCGAAGGAAGACAAGAGCCTCATGCTGTAGCTTCCATTATCGTCATGGCTGCCCTATGGGGGCGGCCTTGTAAGGTTTTAAATGCCCACAGCGCAGTCGGGGGCTGAGGCGTTCTGATTGAGATTTGCTTCAGGAGGCTTTTCATGTCAAAGGTTAGGTACACACTGCGCATATTTTGTCAAAGGATAACCCGTCTCCATGCTGCACTCCGGAGGAGTGGACGCGTGGATTGGTCCATCGGGAGTTTAAATGACCGCAACTCTTGGGGGTTGATCACGAGAGCCAATGATTAGAGTTGCTCTTGCTATGCAGACTTCTCGTCTCGAGGTATGACACTTATTTGTGCTTATCGTTACTATGGTAGCGGCTGGCGGCTCTTTGTTTATTTTCTTCACCCCAAGAGTTCTCTCTGGCGCAAAAGAAGGGGACTTCCGTGCATCCTCACGTACACCCCTTACGCCCCCTCAACAACGGCCTGAACAGTGCTTTGGATTTGCCAGTGTGGCTGTAGTAGTAATATCTACCCCCACGGCCTCTCTCTAATGATGCCCCCAAGCTCTAGAGTCCTTAGCCCTTTTTGTTCAGGCCTTGACGTCGCCCCGAAACCCCGGCCGGGATGGGCGGGGGCTTTCGGGCATTTGGCCTAGGATTAAGGGTTGTGGGGGGTAGATCGATGATGTTTACTTCGAGGTTCATGGGTAGGTATAAATGGGGTTATAAGCCCCCCAATATGGCTTATAAGTATAGTTACCCTGCTTATAACCCTCTATATAGTTTAGTGTTTTTGGTTCCTGAGTTGTCCTTTAAGCCCTTTGAAAATCATTTACTATTATGGTTCTCTACAAAATAGTAGGGGAAATTGAAAAAAGATCCCACAGGACAACCCAGGTTCAGGGCTCGGAGCGAGTTTAGGTTCAGAAGAGTCCAGCCCCAAAACCTAGGGTGAGGGTTCCAGTGCAGCAGGTCCAAACAGGCCAAACTCCCTTTCCGCAATGCGGATTCTGTCAATTGCTAGGAGCCAGGGTGGAGAAACGGGCCTAACACTCCAAACCCTATCAAACCCTAAACCCTAAACCCTAGGACAGCTCAAAGCCATGAGGATCATCAGCATGTGGCGCAGATAATATTAGTGAGCCGAGGGAAAGCGTGTTCCTCTGCTCTGAGGCCCTCACTTCCTAAACCCTGAGGGTTAAGGGGTCAGGAGGTTTAGGGTTTCGGCTTTTGGGGTTTAGGGGCTTTAGGGGGTTTAGGGGTTTTGGGGATACAGGGGTTCATGGGTTTCGGTTCTGGCAGCTTCTGCTTCTTCGGCTGCAGCCACAAGGCGGAGTTTCAGGGAGACTGAGCACCTGCAGCCCCAAACTGAAGACGTCAGCTCTTGGTGCAGAGAAGTTCAGAACTGCAGTTGATTCGGGTTTAGCTGGGTTTAGGGTTTAGGGTTTGGGATGTAGGGTTTAGGGTTTGGGGTCTAGTTACGGTTTAGTGTGGGTTTAGCTGGGATTAGGGTTTAGGGTTTGGGATGTGCTGGCAAGTATCGTCACCACCGTCGTGATCCGTCGTCGTCGACGCCGTGCCCATGGTTCAGGGTGTACGGGCTTAGCCGGACCACGGCTTTTGGACGCTCAAGCATGCTTGACCGCTGCCGCTTTCCTGTGATTTCAGCCTCGCTGCCAGGGCAGTAGATGCTTGTTTAGGGCTGTCACAGGTATCCCAGAGACTCCAAAATATCTTAAAATTAAGGAAGATACCTTAAATTATAGTAGGATCCTTAATATGATTTAGTGTATGTTCCTTCGTATTCTTTATAGCGAGTTTGCCTTCCTACACAAGTGGTTTATCGTTGATAGCGACCCAAGTCCAAAGTCCCAAAAGTAGCTCTGGTGGTGGCGGTTGTTAGCAGCAGCCGTCGTAGTCAGCATCCCAAACCCTCAACCCTAAAGTGGAGAAAGGGTCAGTGCACTTTAAAAAAAACCCAAACCTACCCCCCCCCGATTCTACGGTAGCCAGAAGAAGCTTGGACTTGGGGTTTCCCGCTGTTGGGGAGCCCCTCATGGAAAAGAGTTTGAAGACCTCAGCTTTGAAGCATCACTGGCCGAAAGAAAGGGAATGCCTCTAGAGCACCCAAAAGTTAAGCCCTAAGCTGGTCGTGCTCAGCATTAGAGGTTTGTTTTCAAGAATTTTTGGATCCGAATGGCGAACTCCTGCGACGTATTGGCGAATTGTCAAGTCGTCCAGGACATTGTGAACGATGTGAGTGGACAGCATGCCGACGATGCCACATGGGTTTTGACGAGCAGCCAAGTGACAATTTGGCATGTTCCGTAAAGTCCTATTAGGCATTTTCGCAGTCCGTACTCAGTTCAGCTGCACCTTGAAGCCCATATAGGTAAATCTAGGAGTTTATATGCCAAGCTTGACGAGCCAGGCAGCTTTGTAATCTTGACAATGCAAAGCGGCTTTGGAATGTTGGAGCTGGGATGTGCTGCACGGGGTCACGAAGTAAATATCATGCTCAAGAACGTCTACGACGTGGTCTTCGGCGCGGCTGCCTATTACCTGCTGGGATATGGTATTTCTTACGGTTATCCCTCAAACGCTTTCATGGGTCTGGGTGGCTTTATCATGGACACTTCCACCGACACCTTTGAGATGCAGGTGCAGTCGGGCCTGAGATTCAGCAGCTACATATTTCAATTTAGTTTCGCTGCCACCTCCACGACCATCGTCAGTGGTTGTCTGGCAATGCGCTGTCGCTTTGCAGTGTACTGCCTCTACTCTTTCTACGCTGTAGTTGTCTATGCCTTCGTGGCACACTGGGTATGGTCTGAGACTGGCTGGCTGGCACAGCTGGGCGTCCACGACTTCGCAGGCCGGGGGCCTAGCCACTCTGGGTTCCCAGTCAGGCTAACTTGGAGCCACCGTTGCGACTATGTAGGGTTTAGGGTTCTAGGCTTTCCTGCCAGGGCATGCCGCCAGCTTCGGTGTGCGTGAGGAAGGGGATTGGTTTCGGGATTAAGCGCCTGAGCCCGGCGGCCATGGACCTTAAGCCTCAAGGAACACATGGGAGTTTCCGAAAATTTGGGGTACCTTATTTTGGGGTCCTTATAATAAGGATCCTACTATTCAGGGTACTGGATGAGGTCCCCCTATTTTCGGAAAGTCCCACATGAGTTGTGAAAACGTTCAGGAAGTGGCCCAGTGCACTTGTTGGGGGCAGTGAACGGACTGCTCCTTTGGCATTGCAGTGAGGAGAAGTCCCGGGTTCCGAATCCCTGATAAAGCCAGGCCGTCAAGCCTAAATCCTTCGGATTTAGCGTTCGGACGGTTTAGGCGAAATTCCAAATCTCACACCCTAGACCCTACACCCTAAACTCTCAAACCCGTGATCCTAAATTTTGATCCCTAAGCCTAACCCGCAAGCCCTAAACCTCCGTAAACACCCGAAGCCCTTTCTAAACACAGATTTTGAACAAGACCATTGAAAAACGATCTGAAACCGTCTAAACAGCCCAGACCCTTTGAAACACGAAACCGTAGACTATTTAACAACAGCACTCCCAAACCCTATCGTAAATATTATGGCCGCCCCGCCGGGGACCCAGCCCAGCCCCGAACCTTTTAACCATTCAAGCAGAACGCCCTAAACCTTTAACCCTAAACCCTAAGCCCTAAGCCCTGAACCCTAAGCCCTAAACCCTGAATCCTAAACCCGAAACCCTAACCCTAAAGCCTAAACCCTAAACCCTTAAGAGAGCTCAGCCCCCAAACGGCCCAGGATCGGCATTATATGTATGGGGCCGAGACAGGGCCGGTTTGATGGTACGAGGCCTGTGCCAGGGTCTACTTGAAGGCTCATGGGGCTTAGTAACTTTAAAGGGCTCCTCAAAGGAATCTATAGGGTTCTGTAAGGGGATCTATGGGGTTAAGGGTTTAGGGTCTACTTGAAGGCTCATGGGACTTAGTAAGTAAGGTTATAAGTAAGTTATAATTAGGATAACCCCACTTAGGGGACTTATAACCCCAGTTATAACCTTACTAAGTCCCATGATCCTCTAAGTCGGGTTTAGGGTGAGATGCCCTGTCTGAGCACTCAGCTCATAGCGCAGATCCGTAGCGTTGCGGTTTTAGGGTTTAGGTTATGTACTGAATCGGGGTTGGTAATGGTTTGCAGGCTTGGAGGGGTTCCATGGGGTGCTTATCGGTGGAAGGAGTTTTTTGGTAGATATTTTGTTGGGTTTACGGTTTAGGTTATCGCGGGTGTTGGTGCGATGCAGGTAGCATGGGGGAATCCGAAAGAGGACGGAATCAAGAAGCCTACCATGTTGTTCTCATGGGGACAGGTATGTTTAACATATGCCACCTGTCCACAGTCACGGTGGGCTAGGCTAGGCTTCGTATGCTATACTGTACCTGGAACTCTAGAAGACACCAACACCAAGGTTCAAACACAGAATAATGTAGGGATCTGATGAAGAAACCCTGCGCCTATAACCCCCAAAATATTAGGATTCATAGAAGGAGCCCTGATAAAGGCCCAAGGTTTCTTAATCAGGTTCCTACATTAGGTGCATTACGGAGATTGTTGGTTTAGGGTCCTCATTAAGTCGCTTCTACTGCGATTCAAAGCAAATACCTCATCAGAGCACTGGGATTGAACCCTTGGTTACAACTGCTTGCGTCTGCTTGAGCCTGAAGGAAGCCGAAAAACACAAGCGTTAAACCCTAAAGCGGATTCCGGATGGTAGCTGTGGATACACTAGCAGGCGGAACAAAGCTTTCAACAGAAAACATATATGTTGCTGCTACCAGGCCGGCACAGGACTTTACTCCTTCGTCTCCTCCAAGCATCCTGATCGGCCTCTTCATGCCACCTGCTCTCGGAAATTCGGGTTCGCAGTTAGGTGGGTTAAGCCGCAAGGCCCAGTGTCCTGTATTCATATAGGTTTAGGGTATACTCGCAGACTGTGTAGTGCTCGATATGGAGACTCAGTGTATATGCTTCATTAAGAGTGTTGGGTTCTCTGCGTTTCTGTTACCCACATGCCCGAGCGAAAGAAGGACGAAGAGCAGCCCGGTTATGATGGTGATGGTGATTGTGGCGGTGATGGTGGTGAGGACAATGACGCTGATGATGATGATGGTGATCATGATGACTATATTCTGATGATAATGATGATGAAGACGATGATAATGATGACGCTGTTGGAGTGATGTGTGTGACTATGTAGGTGTTGTCGTCGTCGACGATGATGATGATGATTCTGTTGGCAGTGACTGGGGCTGCTGTTGGCTTCTTCGGTTTGCAGTATCACTGTTGCCATCGCATTTCTCGTTTTGGGCCTTAGGCGCAGTCGGCGGGTGGAGTATCGTACGAACGGAACTTTTTGGTCATGAGATGGGAGTTTCCGAAAATAGGGGACCCGAATATAGTACCCGAAATAGTAGGATCCTTACTATAAGGACCCCCAAATAGGGTACCCCTAATTTTCGGAAACTCCCAAATCAGCAGCGGTTTAGGGTTCAGGGTTCAGGGTTTAGGGTTCAGGAGTATGACAAGGGGTACTCGTAGTCATCGGAGTAGCTTGCTAAACCATGAGGTTCGTGTGGTCGTACTCACAACAGCCGGACTTCGAGACTGAATCCTACGCCTTCGGCCCTGAACTTCAAACCCTAAACAGAAAAGGCCCCCCCCCCTCCCCCAAAAAAACAAAAAAACCTAACCCCAAGCGTCGTGCGAGGCTCTGGTGGGGTTGGATTGGCTTCAACTGCGGTAGCTCCTTCGGCATCACAAACAACAAGTGGATCGTGGCCACAAGGGCCGGGGTCGCCACTATCAACTCCACGGCAGGCGGCGGCATCGCCGCAACTGGGCCTCTTACTTGGAGGGTCGGGGGACTTAGTAAGTAGGTAGTAAGTAGACTTATAAGTACCCTAAAAGGGGCCCTAATTGGGGTTATGGTACTTATAAGTCCCTTAAATAACCAGTTGCTAAGTCCCCCGACCCTCCAAGTACTGTCAAAGGGCTCCAAGGGTGGGACCCTGAACCGTGGGAATTATGGTATTCCTTATTATGGGTATTCCTTATTATGGGTAATGCAGGATTTATATCATCAACCGTACCTTCATCCCACCTTTTGTGGCCTCCAATACTGTTTGGTCTCCACTACCATGGCCGAAACCCTAAAACCCTAAGCCCTAAGGGGAGTGTCGTGGTGATCGTCAGTTCCATCGTGTTTTCTTCTTCTTCAGAAATGTTTCCACACGCGTAGTCCTCCTCCGCGTTGAAGGAAGAAAGAAGGAACGACAGACATCTAGACAGGTGGGTAGGTAGGCAGGCAGGCAGCTAGGCAGAAGTGATGGTCGTCGTAATAGTAATGCAAGTGGAACTGGAAGTGGAAGTGAAAAATGGAAGTGGAAGCAGTGAACGTGGTGGAGGTATGGTATATAGTAGAAGTCATCATCACCATCATCTCCCGAAATGCGGAAAGTCGAGAGCCAGGCACTCATCTACACCAAGATGAAGAGCAGATGTCAGTACATCCGTGCTGAGGCCGGGGTTGATCTTTCCAAAGGTGTTCAATGAGGGGGTTGGACAGAGTTTGTGTGGTTTTGTAGGGGTTTAGGGGCTTCGATGACGGCTCTGTGGGTTAAAGGCGTTCCTTTTCCTTCTTCTAATCTCGAAGAAGCTTTAGTTTGAGCAAGGCAGAGGGGCCTCCCGCCCAAGATGCCAAATCACAGCTGGCCTTATGTGGGAGTTTCCGAAGATTAGGGGTACCTTACTTTGGGGTCCTTATAATGAGGATCCTACTATTTAGGGTACTATATTAGGGTGCCCTATTTTCGGAAACTCTCATGTTGTAACCTACGCCCTTCGTTTCCGAGATTGGCCGCGTGCCTTCTGAGCCTTGCGCCCCAAATGGAGAACCTGAAGATTTAGAGTTGTCAGGCTTCTAGTGCAGGGCCTACCGATCCAGGGATTAAAGGGTTTAGGGTAAGGATTATGGTGCATGCTTTGTGCTTGGGTTTCAGGGATTGGGTTTGGAAAGGGTACCTATGACTTTGCAACACCCACAAGCCGACACCGGCTGAATCCCAAGCCCAAAAATGTAAGCCTAATGCGAGGCCTGAATAAGGACGAACACGATTCCTTAGGGTTCCTTCGTATCATTCTACTATAAGGCTTTTTTTGGGGGGTATTAATTAGAGTACATATTCAAAGCCCTCTAGAAAGCTCCCAGAGGAAGTGGCCAATGGCATCCTTGGTTCCCTCGTCGCGATCACCGCCCCCTGTGCCTGTGTGCACCCACCCGCCACTCGGATTTAGAGCTAGGAGCTTCTGGGTTAAGCTTCGGAAAGCCACCATCACCACCATCATGGTTATCCTCATCATCCTCATCGTCATCCTCATCCCCATCCCCATCCTCATCCTCGTCCTCCTCATCACCCATCACCGTCACCGTCATCATCGTTCGTCATCATGTTCCTCCTCCTCCTCATCATCATCCCCATCATCATCGTCATCCCCATCATCATCATCATCATCCTCATCCCCATCATCATCATCATCCTCATCCCCATCATCATCGTCCTCCTCATCATCATGCTCCCGCTAGGCGTCTCGGATAGTAGTGCGCTGCGGCGCAAAACAGTCATCTTCCTCCGCGCCTTCCTCATCATTATCACCAGCATCATCATCATCATGACCATCATCAAGTTTCAGTGTCAGCGTCGGCATCCGTATCGGCATGAGCATCAGATTCATCATCATCCTCATCATCGTCCTCCTCCTCCCCATCGTCATCATCGTCATCTTCATAGACCTTACCATTTTCACCATCATCGTCGTCCTCATGAACATCATCACCGTCGTCATCATCATCATCATCATCACCATGATGACCTTCCTGGTTATCGCGACTATCATCGTTGCCACCTTCAGCAGTCACTGTCAGAGGCTTTGCTGATGCCAGTGTTCTTGAATGCTGCTGTTGCTGTTGTTGCTCTTGTTTCCGTCGTGGTTGCGGTGTTTGTGGTGGTTGCGGTGATTGCAGTGGTTGTGGCATGGTGCTGGTGGTGGGGTCGTGGTGGTCGGCATGGTTGTTTTTGTCGCAGCTATGCACCCTCGCTTGTCTCTGCCGATTCAGCCGGTGCCAACGGCATTACGACGGTGACGGTTATCATGATGGTGGCGATGCATTGCACATGTGCTCGGCGACAGCCGTGGCAATGGTGATGCTACTGATGGGACTGGTGATATTGACTCTAGTGACAGCAGTGACGGCGGCGGCGGCGGTGGTGGTGCTGGCTGCTGCTGTGTCATCAGTACTTTCACCTCCTTCGTCATGTTATACGGTTGTTCTTCTGCTCTCATATTCCGACAGGATGCGCCGATCATTGGATTCATCGGAGCCCTCTTCGCCCTGGCGACGAACGATCTGATTCACGGCTTCAGGTTCTTCCTGCACAGCTCTGGCTTGGTCATGCTGATGTTGGCACAGACAGTGTGCATGCTAGTTTTGCGCAGTAGTAGTAGTTGTAGTAGTTGTAGTAGTTGTAGTAGTAGTAGTAGTACTACTACTACTAGCCGCCACAAGTGCTCAAGCGGCCGCGCTGAATGAGAGGTTTCGAACAGGCTTGGGGCGCAACTGCTGTGCTAGAGGTTCCAACCGGGCCCTTTTCTGAACAGTAAAGGTTTGTGCCTCCTTCTACGCCATGGTCCTCTCCCTTTTCTCACAGGAGCTGCTTTGAGCCGCCAGGTCCCAATTCCTGGGCCCAGACTCTGTTTAAAACATTGCAACACTGGGTAGGCGGTAGGGTTTCCACCTCCGCGCGGTGGAGGGAGTCATTAGGCTTCTGTCTCTTGACGAAAGTAGCGGATGGCGCAATTGCCAGTGCACTCACAAAACTTTGCATCTCTTCGTAAGAATTCGTTCAAGACAGCATGTAGAAGGACAGTCCGTAGTGACGGGCCCGTACCATACCGAGGGCAGGTTCTGACACCTACCCTGGTTGATCGTCTGGGGGTGCGCCCCCCACCCACTCGAAGAGAGCTTCAGTCACAGACTGCTGACTCCCCTGCATATGGCACAGCCTCCCGCAGGGCAGGAAGGTTGGAAAGATCCATTCGAGTTATTTCGTGGAACGCGGGCCACCTAGGCCAACAGCAATGGGGCGAACTCAAAACGTGGCTAGCAGCTGAAGCCTCTCATCACTGCGACGTCCTCATATTGCAGGAAACGCACTGGACTGAGACCAGTGAATTCAGCGTTTCTGGGTGGTACTGTATCTCCTCAGCCTCGGAGTCTACCAAACCCAACACCCGGCCTAAACAAGCAGCGAAGCGAAACACTCGGCAAGAACCGCGAGCTCCATCCACGACTCGCGCTGATGGAGTCATGATCCTATTCTCTCCCAAGTTCGTCCCCAAGAGCTTACGCTGGAAGGAGTGGAGCCCGGGTAGGGTCTTAGAAGCTCGTGCAGACATTGCAGGTACTCGGCTGGTTGTCGTCGCGGTGTACCAACACGCTTGGTCTTCTGCCAAGACCATCCAGTCCAATAAGGACGACCGTGCTAAGGTACTATCTGTCATGTCCAAGGTGATCAAGCAGGTGCCTAAGAGGGACTCCCTTATTGTAGCAGGCGATTTTAACACTTCCCTGCGTCCGAGCTCTCCATTGGTGGGAACGCACGTGAAGCCACCCACTGAGGACCGCCCTGACGAATCCAACTTGTTTAATCTGCTGCTCAGGCTGCGTTTGGTTGCCCTTAACACCTGGCAATGTGACCATATAGCTACCTTCTCACAAGGAGGAGTGGAGTCGCAAATTGACTTCATTCTAACCAAAGAATCTACGGCGGGAGGCAAAGCCAAACGGTCAGCCCCTTGGGTGGACTGTCCGTTGGGCAGCTGGAAGAAAGGAGGGCATTACCCACTCAAAGCTGACGTACCCCTCCAACATCACTGGCTGCTCCCATCCCACAAGCCCAGCACGCGCCGGTACGATTCACTAGCTCTACAGGCCTCAGTCAGAGAGGAGGACGATACGGCAAAGGCCCTGCACAGCTGGATCGCTTCCAGAATTGACACCTGCCAGGACCCCAAGGCATGGAATGCGTTGCTTTTGGAAGGTGCGGAACGCTTTTTCCCAAAAATTCCCAAACGAAGACCGATCCCGCTGGAATTGGAAACCCGTCGCATGTGGCGGGCCCGCACCCACGACAGGGTTGCGAACACCACTCCCTCAGCACAGCTGATCGAGTCACCTAAAGCAATGGCACAGCCTCCTAATCAGAACACGCCACGTCCGCCGGACACCGAAGCTGAGCTGGCGCAAGTGGCACACCGCCAGGCTGTGAAACAAGCAAAGAAAGATCGAATTGCGAGTTTCATATCGGAGGTGGACGCGAGTCTGGCTGAAGGTGACCAACATATCTCCTTTCAGATCCTCAAAAAGCTGCAGCCTTGGCAGCCTGCGCGCAGAGCTCAGCTAAAGGACAACACCGGACATTTGCTAGGTCCAGCGCAGGAGCTAGCAGCCCTCAGGGACTATGCCAATCAGGTATTTGCGGCCCACCCTCCGCTACGGACAATGCATGGAGCTTTCCCTGCTTTGGAGCCGCCCAAACTAGCAGCTCACATACATTCCATCAAGCCTAATAAAGCTGTTCCTGACGGAGCGGCACCTGCGGCTGTATGGAGACTGTGTAGCGACATCGTTGCACCGGTCCTCTCCAAACACGTAGCATCCAAGCAGGCCGAGGACAGTCTAGAATCCGACCTCGTAGACGCTGATCTCTGCTTAATTCCCAAGCCGGGCAAGCCCTCTGACAAACCAGCAAACTTGAGACCCTTGGGTATCCTTAGACCTGACGCTAAGGGACTGGCGGGAGCGGCCAGAGAAGCGCTTCAACCACTGACACTCTCGTTCCTCAAGCACATGCCACAGTTCGCTTATCTACCAGGTCGGGGGCTGTCAGACGCGCTAGAACGCGTGGTGCATCACTTGCGTGAGGCTCGATCCCTGTTAGAACAGGCCCACCCCACGAGACATGCCTTGCAACAAGGCACACAGGCCCCAGCCTTAGTCGGCGGCCTCACCTTTGCTCTTGACCTCAGCCAAGCGTTTGACACAGTCTCTCGCCAAGAGATCATCGACCTTCTTCAGAGAGAAGGGGCAGATCAGGACACAGTCCACCTCGTTCAGGCTCTACATGACGGGTCTCGTTATGTCCTTCATGCGCAGGGAGATTCCACCTCTGTTGAAACCACAGCAGGCATTAAACAAGGATGTAAGCTCGCCCCCACACTCTTCTCGTTCCTTACAGGTGACCTTTTCCGCTCTCTGGTTGACCTTTTCGGTGCTGAGCAGGTCTTGAAATTCCTGACAGGATATGCCGATGATCTCACACTCCATCGGACTATCCGCTCTGACAAGGACCTCAGGGCCATTCATGCGCTCATCGCAGCGCTACTTGAGGAGGTCCGCAAACACCGCCTACGAGTCAACATTAGCAAGTGCGTCATCTTGGTGAAGTTAGCGGGTAGAGAATCCCAAAACGTGATGAACAAACACGGCTGCTGGATCATAAACTCCAAGGGCGAGCAGGTTCGCGGATGGCGCATCGGGCCCAATAAATCGTTCCCCGCCTTCCAGTGGGTCTCCTGTAGCAAGTACCTGGGGGTTATGATCTCCTACAACCACTTCGAGCTGCAGTCCTTGCATTACCGCATAGGGGAAGCAAAGCAAAAACTGCATCAAGTCCGCCAATTTGTCTACAATCGCCGGTATGCGAGCACCATGTCGAGACTCAAGGTTTGGCAAAGCACAGTCCTGAGCACACTGACGACAGGCCTCTCAGACGTCGGACTCAGCGAGGAGTCGGCAAAGCAGCTACGCAGTTGGCATGCTCACAAGGTGCGATCAGTGCTGAACTTGCCAGCACATACCAGCCGCATCACCACTAAGGATCTCTTCCAGCTTTATAGCATTCAGGACCCAGTTCAAGCGATGCAGGTCAAGCTCAGGAAGAGACTCCGCAAACTTGAGCGACGCGCAGCCAGAAGCCCAGATATCACAACCGAGCCTTCTGTTTTGCAAGTCATCCGGGACAAGCTGTATTTCCTATCACACCTCCCTGATGCAGCTGAACACCCTGTAGCCCTACATGCGTGCACACTCTGCGATGCCTCTTTCGAGACAGCAAACGGGTTACATTTACACAGGTCGCGAGTGCATCCAGCCAGCATTGACCGATTTGTGCCATCAAGCTTCGATCGACAACTCCACGCGGTGGATGGGATGCCGCAATGCGCCGCTTGCATGC